CTCACAATGTTGGCATTTGCAGGATGCATTTCGGGCCATTCAGAAGACCGCAAATCAAGGAATCCTGGACCTGGGCATCCACTCATTTTGGCCAATTTGCCTTGGCAACTTTGCTGCACCGCCGACGACCGCCACGCAACCTTTTTTCCCGTCTACGCCCGTCCGAATCCGCGAGCAGCCGTACAATGCGGGGAAAAGTGGTTCATGTGGTGGACATCACAACCCTGGCACGACGGGAGGATGGAATGGCACGGCGAAGCAAGCACGAGAACAACTTGAGCCGGCAGAGGGATTTGACAACTCATCCTGCGTCTGCTTGGATGACACATTGTGTCGTCACCTGATCGCGATCGGAAATTCATGCGGGGGACGGCGGCGAGGTCCAGTTTTGCACCACCACACCCTTCGCTTGCTCCGTGTTTGCAATACATAGCAGACGCCCTCCGGGATGCCCCGTCCTAAAGTCGACTTATTAAGAAGTGCAGGTGCGTCGTGGAGTCCCGTCCCTTGCTTCTCGTTCTGTGCCCAGTCACCGGTCGGCTTTGCTCGGTCAGCCCATCTGGCCAATTGGCCCGAGATCATTTCCTCCATCTTTTGGCGACCATGTTCACTCATTTGTATTCGATTTATCTTCTGCCGCTTGCAACGCAGATGAGGTTTGTTGAAGGTAACGTGCTCAGAGTTGGGATGAGGTTTGTTTCGGACGAACCTGGTGGCGCTGCCCGGGTTCTAGAAGCCTGGTCGCAGCATGAACTGACCGCCCTGTGAGCCCATTGGGCCCATGCGATCGCGATGGGTCAACGAGACGGATGGTTGGGTCGGGTGCGGGCCCACACCGACTTTTTGGGCTGAGGACAGGGAGGCTGGCATCCCTCTTTTCTCCCTGCAGGCTTCGTCGCTCGATGCGCTGGCCTCTCCCCAAGCCTCCTTGGCACGGCTCCTTGCGTCTCCGGACCCCCCTGGTGCGGCACACACGGCTGCGACCAGAATTCGCACCACGACCACCACTACACTGTGTACACTGCTGCCGGATTCAGCGTGGCGAATGGAAGCTGTTCCTCGACCGGACTTGGGCCTGGCTTTGCTGAAGGTCTCCGCGGCCACGGCGGCCGGAGGCGAGCCCGGCCACTTCCATCATGGGTGCCACCGCAGGTGCCGGGACGGGTTTTCCGGGGTTGAAGCAGAACTGCCCGTGTGTCACGTTGTGATATCGACCCGGGGACGTGATGTAGGGCTGATCCTAAGCGATTGACCAAAAATCGTAACCAGAGCGTCCCTGTTATTCTTGTTCGGTAGGAGAAACTCGAGTGACGTTGCTTGGGCTAAATTTAGGCCCGGGCCGAGCGGTTTTGTGCTCACAAGAGAAGGGAACACAGGAGTTGAATGTCGTTGTCAGCGGCTGTGGTGAGGCAACTTTTAGCAGGAGGACTCCGCCGATCGTCGGTGAAGCCGATGAACACGGCGAGCGTTTTGTGACGTCCTTGCTGGGCAGTGCAGAGGTCGGCGAGGTCGGGCTCTGAACCAGGGGCAACGGTTCTGTCCCAGGGCCCGCGAAGAGTTCCCGCGAGTTTGCTGTGTCGAATTTCTCCGATGTTCTCTCGAGCTGAGAGGTTTGTTCATGCAGAGTGTCTTTTTGGCCGATCAAGAGAGCATGTTTGTGCGTTGCCCCAAGAGAGTTTTTGTGCTGAAAAGCAATTGGCTAAGTTCGCTGGTTAGGTAGTTGAACGTTGGAGATTTTCAGCAATTGCTATCCGTATATTGATCCCTCTCTCCGGTGCCCACTGCGGGTGTTTCGCTTCCTTCTCAAACCCATCGAATGTCAGGTCACGTCATCAACAAACGGCGCTTGCGAGAACAGAAATCAAAAAGCAATGTTCCCAAGGATCATGTCGATTGACGACTGACAAAAGTTGATTGCTTTGATTGCTGTCGAGGGCTGGAGAGGACCTTTATGGTTGCACGCTCTTCTTGTCTTCCCGAGGTCGTCTGATGAAATGCTCAAGCCGCGGGGGGGTTCCAGAGCCGCCCAGAGCGCTGTTCATTCTATGTGGACAGCCAGAGACCGGGCGCGTGGGGTTGTCATGAAGATGGCAAGGAACGCGTCGCAACAGCTCAGGCGAAAGAGTTGACCGCTCGGTTCCCGATCTCTCTTGGGACGACCAAGCACACACATCCCGGGTCCCGGCGGAAGGCACTTTCCTGCAACGACGCCCCCGCCCACAAAAACTCCTCGGGAATTCACCCCTCTGCCCATCAACAACCCCGCCAGCCACCTTGGAAGCTGCAAAAATCCTCGATGGGAGACCCACTTCGCTAGCTGATTCATCCAACCAAATCTGCCTGTTAAAGCAGTCTGTCCGCGCCCTCAAATCATCGTTCGGCTCTTCCCTCGACTCTCCTCCTTTCCCTCGCACAACCAATCAAGCACACCAAAGGACCCCTCTCCACTGGTGCGTTTCCAACGAGGGTGAAGTCGTCCCATCAACCCCCAAAATTTTCATCAAATCAACGGCCGCGCCTAGTCGTAACAACGCCAGCTTTGCAGTCCAATTAGGACCGCCAAAAACTCCCAAAAAGTCACTTGCGTCGCGGCATTCCAACGTCGCTTGTGCGTCGCGCCGCGCATTCCCTTGAGCAAGTACCAGTAGCAGCCGACAACTGCAGAAAGGGTATGTCCGAACCCCATCAATTTCCCTGCATATTCCCCTTGCTTTCCCGGCGAACTGGCCGTCTTGCATGAGGCCTTTGCTTCGCTCGCTGCATTGCGCCTGTACCCTGGGCCCGCCCGGCGACGCACGCGCATTTTCCCTCTTTCTGGCGCTCTCTGCCTGGCGGCCTAAGGACCCGCGCAAACCTCACCGTCTCAGACGTGACGTGAGCGCAGCCTAGCCCCCGTTCACAAACCCCGAGATTTGTTGCAAGCTAGCCTCGCAAGACGGTCGATCGCGGGGGACATCGGAGCCGGACTTTTAAAAACAAGACACAGCCCACTCACGCGCCTTGTCGCAGGCATCCTCTCGTATCCACTCCTTGAGCGGCCAAAACACCTGGGGCTCTTTTTTAGCCAGTCAACGGCCGAGCGCAAAAGACATTCAAACCCTGGGCTCAGCGCAGCAAATCAGCACGCATCCCAGCTGATAAAAGGACGACGAAAAACACCATCAAAGCGAATCCTATTACAGCCCTCGCTCTCGACTTCGGCCTCATTATTGGCCGTATCCTGGTCCCGTGATAATTTCTGTCTGCGGACTGCAATTAACACTATCTCCCTGCCGTTCAATCAGACGGCGTCGTCGCCTCGATCTCACCAGGGCTCTCATTTCCAATCGCGACCGTCCAGCCTCGACGCGCGGTGCCTGCCCTGTCGACAATTGTTGTGTAAGTACCCTTCACATCCTCTGTTTTCTGTCTTTTTGCCCTTCTCCGCGAAACTTAGGCTTTGGTCCCTGCGCTGCCTACCCGCCGGTGACGCGTTGGTCTGCCCGCGGCTGCATATTCCTGCTCGACCAATCTCCTGGCGCGATCCCTTGAGGGTTTCAATCCTCAACAGTCGGCGGCTCGAGCCTTACTCTCCATCTTCTCCTAGACACATTCCTTTCTCACAGTGTTTTTTTGTTGTTTCTTTGCCAAAACTAATACGCGAACCGACCAGCCTCTGCAAGCGCAGTGGATTTGGCTCGGACAACACTACATCTTTAGACGGTGCGTTCGTTTTGCTCTCTTTTCCATGCTTAGTCATAACTAAGCTTATCCCGCACCCGCTTTTGCGCCCCCTCACCTCCTCACAGTGTCTCTGGCAGCTCTCAAGTTTTGAGATACCGGGCGTACAATCCCCCCACATCGTCCGCTGTCTTGGACTTCCCCACCCTTCGCTTTTTGCGCTCTCTGTTCTCGTCCGGCATTGCGTTCTCGCCGCAGTCTGAGAAAAGGGTGGCAAGAGAGTGCAAAATTGAGAGAAGAAAGCTGTATGCATAGAGGGGCCTGCAGCCCGGCCCCAGAGAACGTTGGCGCTCGCTGGGTTGCTTTGAAGCCAGCAGTCCCGTCGACGCCTGGCTCGAGTGAGTCCGATGCACAGGTCCAGCGCATCCAACACAATCCCCATCAAGCGTCGGGCTGCCTCTGCTACCTCTGATCCTCTGCCACCCCATTTTGGTCTTGCTGCCCGGACTAGGCATGGGGCGATGAGCTGGTTGACCTGGTGGGCCTGCATCGTGCATATTCCGTCATGCATGCCAGCGCATCAAACTGGCCCTGGCCCAAGGCGCCAAAACAGAGACCATTCACCAGTCATGACCCTCCTCCTCCCCAACAAGCCAGCCGAGTTGTTTCGCTCGGAGTGGGATGAGCTCTCGTACTAATGCTTCCCGCTCATAGGCTTGGTCAAAGTCAAATCGACCGCACGATTCTCTAACAGTAGACTCGCCGGAGGTTTTGCCTTCGTTCACAAACATTGGGCGTGTTGACCTGCTTCAAACCCGACGTCCCTGCGACTCGGGATCTTCAGGCTCGTCGGCCACGACAAAGACCTAGGCTGCCTTCGAGCAGTTCCCTCTGCCCTCACGTGGCTGCTGTTGTCCACGCCATCTCCCGGACCGGCCTTGGACTGAGCCACCCAGGTTTCGCCTCGCAACGACATCAGCCTGCATATGCTGCGGTGCCACCAATCACGCTGCGCCGCTACCATCCCATCAACTGCCAACGCATCACTCCAATAGATTGGGTGCACATCCAGCCCAATCCGCAGGTACAAGTGACTTTGAACTTTGTCAGTGCGTCCTGAATCCCAGATAGATCAAGGCCTTGGAAGCTCTATCAGCACTCGCACGACTTTGGATCAACCCGAGTGGTACTCTCACTTGTCGCATCTCCATCGTCGAATCCTTTCCCCAGGTTTAATCTGCAGACGGCTCCGCAAGCGTCGCCTCAAACGACCTGCCCGCATTCTCTAGCACCGCGATTTTTCGCGATCTCATTCGGCGTACTCGTCGCGACCTCCAAGGATGATGGAATACGCCCAATACCAACAGCAACCTCAAAGCGCACATTCTCAACCGCACATTCAAACAGGATACCCCACATCTGCAGGTGGAAACAGCATCACTTCACCATCAACCCAGCACTTGTCCCAAACATCCCCGATTCTTCCATCACAACAACACCAACCGTCGCCGACACAACCTCACAACATGTATCAACCACAGTATGCAGTCCCCCAACAGCCCATGCATTATGGAATGCCTGGGATCCAGGCAGCGGCCATGGCTGCCACTGCCGCCGCGTCCGGGTCTTCGTATCCCTACATGCCGTCAGATCCCAGTCTACAGCAGTCACCGAGGATGTCGGGCGTTGGCGCAAAGAAAGATTCCAGGGCTGGACCGAGGTCTCCGCAGCAATTGAATAACATTCCCCAGCAGCGGAGGCTCAGTCAAGTCGCGAGCCCGGGCGTTCCGAATGCGCCCACAATGCTGAATCACGGCGCGCCGCGCACGGCTGTGCCCCCACCGATGACGGCGGGCCAGCAGATGCCGCCGCCTCAATCTCCAGAGATTGCTTCTGGTGCTGTCGAGGAGTCTCCTCTTTACGTCAACGCCAAACAGTTCCACCGAATTCTTAAGCGCAGGGTGGCCCGGCAGAGGTTGGAGGAGGCGCTTCGGCTGACTAGCAAGGGCCGCAAGCCTTACCTTCACGAGTCGAGGCATAACCACGCCATGCGCCGCCCTCGTGGACCTGGTGGGCGTTTCCTGACGGCTGAGGAGATTTCGCAAATGGAAAAGACCAAGTCCGATGGTTCCAGCGACAAGGCAGAGACCGAGCAATCTGTCAAGACCTCGACGGGCGCGACAAAGCGCAAGTCCGAAGGGAACAGCGGGGCCCCGGCGAAGAAGACCAAGAGGGCGGTTTCGACGCCAGAAGATGACGACGACGATGAATGATGACGGGGTAGATGGATGCAAATAGGAGAATTGCAGTTGAACTCTATACCCGTTTTCATACGTCACAAACACGTGTCATGAAGTTACGACAGACCCACCCTACTCTTTGTTTATCTTTTACTGGAAGTGCACACGCAACCAGGAATAGGCTTGGCAAGGAGTTTAGGAAGATGGATGAGATGAAGGAGAACGTGTATAAGCCGTTACCCGTTGCGATGTGTTTCCTTTTTTTCTATTTCTTTTTTTCCCCTCCTCTCCTTCGTCATTCTTCCCTTCCTCTCTTCAGATTGGGCAACCTACTCTGGCTTTTTCCTGCGCATCAATACGGTAGCTCTCGGGAGCGACACTCGTTTCGGTTCGGTTTGAGCATGTTTGGGTTTCTGTTCTGGTTGGCGAAGCGGTCTATTTCGTACCTCTCCATTCCCCGGATACCACGATACACTTGGCCTCACAGCATATCAGCGACACAGCGAGCATAGCATTTGACGGTCCCCCGTTTCGGCAGGCTGGATTCATTGGGACGGGGGGAGGGAGGTTTCCTTTGGGAGGTTGCGGTGACAGGGTGGAATAGGAAGGGGGGTGGTAATTTTTTCTGGGGGCAGGCAGGTTTTGGCGGGAATGGGGGGCAAAGATTGTGCATCACGCGATAACGACGGATACCCTCGACATACCCCCAAATATGGACGTGTTTTATTTTTTCTCTTTTTTCTATCCAAGCTTATCTCCTTCGATGCTACCTATTTATTACTTGCCATTTTTCCTTAGCGAGGAGGCATGCCTTGTTGTGTTCTTTGCTGCGGGATGGATGATGGGGATATGGCTCGCCAATTGGCAGAATGGAACAAACAAACTCGACATGGTACCGGTGAAAACGGGCGAAAAACGGGGCCGAAAAGAAAGAAAAGGAGTGGCACAACCAAACCAATTACCATTACCAACAACACCAACAATTCTAGTACAAAGACAAAAGAGAACCGAGAGAAAGAATAGCAACATTCTGGAAGCCGGGGTGCGTGCGTGCAGTGTGGGGAGATATTGGATGTTTGGCGGTCCGTGTACCTACGCTATGTTTCGTGTACTTGCTTGATACTGTTTTGTTTCTTTGCTGCTATTCTGTTCCTTCCCTTCTCATGACCCTTTCCTTATGTTTAGCGACCTAGGAATTGCTTCTTTGGCGGGGGATGCTAGACTATGAATGGCTGATCCGTCGCCGGATATAGTGTATTCTGGAATTGAGCTTGTCTACGATATTGCCCACACGTACCTCATTGGACCGTGATCGTGATGTAAGTGGTGGTTGGTCAGGACCAACCTCACGCGAGCTCCATTAGCTCGAAGTGAGGGCTGAACTAATTCTCGAACACAGTGTGGGTGCTTGTGGTCAAAACCGTCTGTGTACATGTACCAATAGCGTGAGGAGGGTAAAAGCAAAGAAGCTAGCCGATGGGGCGGCGTGAGATGAGATCCGGGGTCAGCGGGTTAGAGGGAGACTGGAGATTGGTCTGATCCGATCTGGGTCTGACGAATCTTCTATCTTCTCGTACCTCCCGCGATCTTGCTTTTCTGCTTCTCGTGCGCTTCGGGCCGCTTTGGCCCACCTCACGTGGGACGCTGGGACGCAAGCTTGTGCTGAAGTCTGCGGTTGGACTGCCGATTTGTTCAGAGTGGAATGCAGGAGCCGTGATCCATTCCCGGGAGGGTGAGCGGGCGGAACGGGGCGCCGCTGGGATGCGTAACGGGGAAAGGTTGGGGTTTTGGAGGGAGGGTTGATTGGCTTTGGAGTTTTGGGAACTTTTGTCAGCCGTTTCCATGTTGTCGGGCCCGTTAGTTAAGGTGAAGTTGTGGGCAACATGCCCAACCCTAACCCCGGATATGGCCTCACAGAGAATTTACATTCCCCACATCTTGTTGTCAGCGGCAGCGCAGCGTAAATGTGGGCCCGTGCTCTTCCAACAACAATCCCGTCAGGCTCATGCACACGCTTGAACCTCCTTACAACATCACCCTCATTTTGCCTTAGTTGTGTGAGGGCATCGCAACAGGCAAAATGTTGTTTTTTAGGTATGTGTGATTTTGGTTACTCAACTGCTGATTTGTTTTTTTTCCCTTCTCTCTTTTATGGTTTTTGGTCGTGCCGGTGGTGCGAGTGCTCCCCGATTGTACAATGGGCATAACGGAACTGCAGATGGCAACTTCAAGCTACCGGGCATGGGATGAGAAGATTTTGGGGGACCGTTCATATTCAGTGACCGTTATCATATACAACCCGAGACGACAACTCGCACCATCTCCGAGCTGGAGTCTGTCCTGCTGCAAATCTCACACCCCGTCCCACCCGTCACACGCATATCGAAGCACACACCCTGGGGCGCCCCAGTCCTCTCACTCTCATATCACAGTTTCCATTCCTAATACATCTAATACACACCCACTTACTCACACTCACCCACTCATAGCTTCTTCAAAACCCTCATCGACCACGAGGTCACAGTCGAGCTCAAGAACGACATCCAGATCCGCGGTGTGCTCAAGAGCGTCGACCAGTACCTCAACATCAAGCTCGACAACATCCAGGTGCTGGAGGAGATCAAGTATCCTCACATGGTCAGTTCCAGTTTCAGTTTCCATTCATCATAGAGATAGCCCATCCACCCAACCCACATCACACACAAAACGGAGCAAGACCGATGACTAACAATCCGCTACAGAGCGCAGTCAAGAACGTCTTCATCCGCGGCTCAGTGGTGCGGTACGTGCATCTTCCAGCAAACGCGGTGGATGTGCCGTTGTTGGAAGATGCGACGAGGAGAGGTATGTTACAAAAAATGCGCATGCGTGCACACAGACAGCATCGGTGGCGGGCTAACGTAACCCACAGAGGCGGCAAACCAGGCTGGGAAGGGGAAATGAAGGGGATAAGGGGGTTGGAATTGAGGAGGGAAGGAAATGCAGGGTGAGCATCATGATATGAAGGGGTGGGAACGAACCCAGGGGGTGTGGGCTTAAAGGGGTAGTCACTATCTGGATGGGAAATACCCGGGATAAGGTATCAGCAATTTATGAAAACCGTTGATCCCCACCTGAAGCCTTTTATCAAGAGATGGGTAGTCATGTCCAAGATATTTTCGCGAGTGGGCTAATCTCCACGATAGGTAGGATACAAGTTCCATACACCACCTACCAATAAACCCCCCCACCTCTCCCATCCTTCCCATCCCACAACTCCTCATCCCTAACCCCCTTCCCCCCCTTATCACCCCCCTTACTCCCCTCACATTCCCTAAAAACCCTCAAAACCCCTCCCTTCCTCCTCTCCGCCACCCACTTATCCAACCACCCCTTCATCCTCCGCCGACTCGCCTCGCTCCCAACATTCACAGTCGGCACGATCCTCTCAATACGCAGCGCCATCACAAAGAGCGCCAGCTCGCGGAAACTGCTGTGCTCGCTATACGGCGCGCCGAAGCACAGTGCCTGCGCGGTACCGCCGCGCTGGGGGACAAGGTGCTGGGCGGTGAAGCGGGTGCGCCAGTGCGGGTGGTGGAGCAGGTGCGTTGTGGGGAGGGAGGTTGGGGGTAGGTTGGCGTTGATGGTGCTCGCGGTGGTGGGAGTAGGGATGGAGGAAGACGAAGAGGCAGAGGAAGAAGGGGCAGGGCGGTAGTTCCACCCTGAAGGACGGAAGCCAACGATGCGGCTGAACTCGCCGCGGGCTTTGTACCCTTCGAGATACTCGGCTAGGGTCTCGGCGCGGATCTCCATTAGCATCTGCATGTGGACTTGGGCCTCGGCCGGGTTGGAGGTGAGGAGGTCCGATAGTTCGGGGTCGTCGAGTTGTTTGCACATGCGGATTTTGGCCGGGGAAGCGTAGATTTTGCTTCGCAGTGCCTGCGCAATGGCGACGCAGATGCGTTCCTTTCCGATGCTGTAGGTGCCACAGACGACGAGGAGGCGGTTGGGGTTATGGCGGCGGCCGTTGAGGGCTGAGAAGGCGTTGTTGGGTAGCGGTGGAGGGGTCGTGTCGGAGGATGTGGACGTTGTTGAACTCGTCGTAAAGAATTTCGAGACGTCCTTGGTCTTGGCTGCTTCACCACCGCGTTGGCGTCGCAAAAGAGATTCCCAGTGGCGGTCGTCGTTTTCCAGCAGGCCTTTGTTCAGCAGCGCGCAGAGGTCGGCACAGGTGGTTATCACATCGTTCTGTGGAGGAAAGGAGTAGCGGGGGTTGAGGTATGTGGTGTCGAGATAGCACACATCGATCTTTTGCTGCTTGGTCCGGCCGGAGATGGCATCGACTGTTTCGGGCCGCAGCTTCTCGTGCTCGATGTGGGCAGGACAGGCACGAAAATCACCACAATGAAGGATCCGTTGCGTCTTCCCCCCAGCAGTCTTTTCAAAAAGGAAGAGCGAACTTCCCGGGCAATGGTTCGCCGGGATCATCGTGACCACGACACCATTCGTATTAGGCACGGGTACCGTTTCCTCAAACTCCAGCTCGACAACATACTTGGCCGCCGTCTTCAGCTGCGACTTGACCAGCGATCCGGTCACTTTGCTGCAGTAGATGGGACCATGTGTCCAGTTCGCCGTAAGGCCGATGTAGTGATCGCTGTGGAAGTGGCTAAGAAAATACGCCCGACACCCTTCGACGGCACCGTAGCGAAAGGCATCGACACAGATCGAAAATCCAGGCATGATCTTGTAGAACGGGCACGTCCGCTTGTACGCAGGCATGCCCCGCGAAGCGGTCTCTGCTGCGGCAGCTGTTGCCCAGGCCGCGTCTTCGGCATGACCTGACATGAGCTTGGTAAAAGCCGAAGTCGATTTCCCTTGCCCTGTCTCTGTCCCAAGACTGATGGGATTCGCTTGTCCAGGCCGGGCTACGGCGGCTTTGGCAAATCGTTTTCCCACCGTTGCCACCTCAACCTCAACTGCCTCCCCGGGTGGTGGTGGTGGTGGCCCAGACGACTCGGGTAGCGGTGTCGGGTTGCCGTCCAAACACGAGTTCACATGGGTAGTTGCCTGTTCTGGTGTCACACCCGCGAGACTGCCATTGCAGACGGGGCAGCTTTCCGTCATGGTGCCATCCTCAACAGCAAATTCATTCACTTCGTATTCCTCCCCAGCTTCTTCTGCCTCAAGCCGTGCTTGCTCTTCCATGTATCGCATCGCCTGGAGTTCTTCTCCGGTAAAATCATCGTCCTCGAACGGCTTCGCTTCGTTACTGATCTCTCCTCCATTGCGGCCTGGTGAACTCCCTCGGACATCCGCGCCCGATGTCTCATGTCGAAGTAATGGAACCCTGGATATCGCCGCCTCATTGGTAAGCTCCTCCGGTCCACGGCCTCCGTTTCCCCCATGGAAATCGTCAAATATGGGCTGTGGTGTCCTCACCATTGGTACTGACGGCGCTGCGGGCTCGTTTCTCTTGCCGCCGCTGTCCTCGTCTTCGTCGTCTGAAGAATCGTCTAGAAATGGATTCCCCGGCTTCCTTTTTGGAGCCGCGGTTTTATTCCCCTTATGCCCCCCCTCTACCACCGTGTTTTGTGCCCCATCTACCTTCGCCTCCGTCGCTGGCCCCTCATTCCCACGCGCATTCCCCAGCTCAGACGAAGGAGACAGCCGTGAGGGAGAAACCGAGTTCACCCTCCGCCTCTTGACCGATCCACCCAGCTCATTATATCTTCCCTCCTCTTCCTCTACCCCATCACGAGATGGACTCGCGCCATAAATATCCTCCTCTTCTTTAAGGTCTCCTTCTGGAGTCCCATTCCCTAACCCATTGACACCATTGCCGCCGATGAACAGCTCCTCATCCGGCGCGGGCGCTTTCTTGAAGAAGCTGAGAATACTCTGGTTCGGTTTTCCCTTTGTTTTTGTTGCAACACTGCCATTCTTAGACGTGGAAGCGGAAAAGGGTGTCGCTGAGGTTTTGGTGGAGGCCGTGGGCTTTTGTGGGGTTTTCAATCGTGTTTGGGATAGTTTTGACTTTGGTCTGGCTTTAGATAGGGGCGCGGGCGCCATTGTGTGCGTGTCGTGGTTCTTGGTCGACAAGCGAGGGCGTTTGGGCGATTTGGGAATCAAGGGAGGGCTTGTACATAGAACTGTTTTTGGGAGGTGTCCAGGAGATGAAAATAGTTAGTTACCAGAGAATGAATGGTCGACGCGGTTTAGTGGGGCGGATGAACGCCACTTCTAGGCGCGCTGTCACGTGGGCGCACTTAACGGCGGCTTGACAATAGGGTTGGCAACAGCTTTTGTATCGCTGCCAAGGTAGGCATTTTGCTATTTGTTTCATAGGCATGTACGGAATGTCCGGGTGTGTGGAAAACCATGCCGGTAATCATTCTATTTCGCTTTTTGTCCCCCGCTGAGCCAACCTCCCAACCAACTCCCCAAATATCGTAAAAGCTCCAACGCTCTTTACACAACCCTAACCCCCCCCAATTTAATCCTCTTCAGCCGCCACCTCCAGCTCCGGGCCCTCATCATCCTCGTCCAGACCGCCGGCGGGTACCTCGTATAGGCGTAGGATGCTCTTGTTCGGGTCCTTGGCCAGGACGTACTTGCCGTCCTCACGCTGGAGACACATGTCGGCAATGGTGCGCACAATACCCCAGCCGTTGGAGAGTTGGAGGTTCATCTGGTTGGCAAAGTCCTTGGGTTTCCAGCCGATAACACCGAGGACGATGTGCTTATCATTAATCTTGGGGGTGATACGCGAGACGAAACTAAAGATAAGTTAGTCGTGTGAACCTGGTACAAATCTAGGTAGAAAAGGGGTGGAAAGGCCATACCCAAGCTTCATCACGTCCGCCTTGGCAAGAATACTTTGCACGGTCCAGCGGGCCAGCTTGCAGCTGTTGTTCTTCATCTCGGTGGCGACAACGGCACCGCGCTGGGACACGAGCTTGGAGCGCCAATCGAGTGCGCCACCGCTGCCTTGGGCCTTGCTGTCGAACTCGTTGAGCGCGTGGATGGTGACGAACTGGTCTTCGCCGTTGATCGCGTTCTTCTGTACGGCGTCGAGCTCCGTACGGACGATCAAGTACGTCGGGTTCTCCTCGCTGGTAGAAAGGTCGAAACGGCGGTACTTGTACGCCTTGGACGCGGGCGGCTCCGTCTCGTCGGCTGCGCTGTAGAAGGGGTTCTCGTGGGCCATGTCGACCTTTTGGTTCTGGCTCTCGAGCACAACCTGGTTGGTGAAGTTGTGGTTGATGTACGTGGCCTCCTCGGCCAGGGCGGCCGGCTGGTTGATGCTGTCCTTGGACCCCTCAGATGCCTCGAGCGGCGCATCGGCAGCGTTCTCGTTGACGGTGACCATGTCGAGCGCGGCATTGTCCCGCTTGTCCAGGAACACCTTGTTGCCTTGGCGCACAATGACGATATCCCAGGGGTAGACGGACCGCGGGGCGCACATAAGCATCGATAGGACGCTATCCGTAGCGAAGATGGTGGCCTCGTCCTTGTCGGCGAGCTCCTGGATGATGGGATCCGAAGAGGTAGTCACATTATACGCAGCACGGTCCAGCACCGCCAACTTACGCTCGGCGCTCTTAACAGGTGGCTTATCGTACGACCGGTCGTAGTAGTAGAGGAAGCCGTAGGTGTCGACATCCTCGCCCTCGTCCGTGTCCAGGTTGAGCTTGCTGAGGCGGTTGAAGTCGATCTCCTCAAGCAGCTGCCAGTCGGGGCGGATGTTAATCGACGCATCCCGGTTGCGCTGCGGCTTGTCGTAGTCCTTCCAGCCGAAGCGGCGGCCACGAGCGCCGCCACCGCGGGCACCACCGCGATCGCTATAACCCCCGCCGTAGGACTGACCGCCACGACCGCCACGCTGGAACTGTTGGCGACCGCCCCCGCGTGTGTCCTGGCCACCCCGGCCGCGTTGGCCCCGACCGCGGGTGAAGACGGCACCGCGCCCGAAACGAGTTTTGCCGGTGTCGCGAACGTTTGAGACGACGGAAAAGGAAGCCTCGTCCTCGGCCACGGGGGCAGTGAACAAGGACGCCGAGCCGGCACCGTAAACTTGCTGGTCTGGCGGGCGCAAACATGCAAAAGTCAGTTACACCTGCCACTAAAAAAAAAAAAAAAGAACAAGAAACCATCAAGACCACTTCCATCGCAAAATGGGGAGGGGGTACGTCAAAAAAAGATCAGGCGAGATATCCCACGCACCACGGTAATTCCTATTGTACTGCGGCCTGCCACGACCGTCTCTACCGTCTTTAGCATCGGTCCAGTCGGCCATGCGGCCTAGCTTGTCGCTCTTGGAGAAGGGGGCGTAGGGGACGCCATTGAGAGTGGTCTCGGTGGTGATGGCGGGGCCCCAGGAGCCATCGGGTTCCGGTAGCGAGTTGATGAGGTCGACGAGCGACGACACGCCCGACGCGGGTTCCGCCATGATTCTTTTTGTTGTCGGGATCCTCGAAAGCGGGGAAACTTAGGAATAGGTGGTTTCGACGACGAAAAGATATTTTCCCGTGACTGCTATATGCGGGACCGACGAGGGTACCGAGACGGGGGGTTTCGCAAGGCGGGATGGGGCAAAGCTTCTTTATTTTTCGAGGTCGATTTTCTTCTTTGGTGGGGTTGTGTGGTGTGGGGCAGAAAGAGATGTAATACAGTGTGATTCTATGCATGGCCCACACTGTACCATCTTCGATGCCAGTGGAATGGGACAACCTCAAGTTGCCTACAGCTCTCAAAATAACATCAAACAAAATAAATTCAAGCTAACTCCCTAGATGGATATCAACCAGCGATCTCAAATCCAAGTTTTCCTCAAACTCGCCACACTTCTCGCCTCAAACTCCAGTGAAAGAAAAAGCAAAAACCAAAGCCCTCCAACCCAACAACAGTCCCTTATTTACTGTGCAATGCATACTCGCTCAATACCCCATATTGAAATCAGGCCGCATAGAGAACACATTCTCCAGCGCATCCCGAACCTCAAACTCTTCCATCACCGCGCCGAACCTAGTCACTCCGTCAGCAAACCGACCAGAAAGAGAAGGGATAAAAAAACCACGGTAAGCGAAAAGAGAGAGAAAAGAGACCTACCCATAACAGCGCACCTTACCCGCCAATTCCTCCGCAAGCTTGGTAAAATCCTCCCCGCGCAGCTCTTCCAGTCGCGGGTGTGCCAGAACCATGCCCCACGCCATCACCGGCGTGATCTCGCCGTCTAGGTTCAGCCGCTTGCTCAGATCCAGCAGCGTGGTCAGGTCCCCTTTGTTGAGAGTCCAGGTGCCCGACGCCCCGGGGCCGGTGGCGGCAGCAGCAGCCACGGTCGCGACTTGGTTGTCTCCGGGGGGCTGCAGGGTGGGGTTGGCGTTTTGGGCCGGGTTGTTGGCCTGGCCGAAGGGGACGTCGGCTGAGAGCTCGGAAAAGGGCTCGGGTGGGCAAGACGCCATGAGCGCGTGGCCGCAGGGTTCGCGAGGGCCGGGGGCGTCGACGCCGCGTTCGAGCAACCAGGGGAGGTGGTTCATGCAAGACTTTTCGAGGCTGGGATTTGGGGATTGTTGTGTTAGCCCTGGCTTGGGTTCTGTGGTTCTGTGTATCATGAGGTTTAACGGTTTCTCACCTCAAGACAAAGTCGATGCCGACTTGTTCATAGTCCAGCATTGGAGTCGGATTCCCCAGCTTTGCCTGACCGGGATGCTGCTGCTGCTGCTGCTGGGGCTGCGGATATGAGTATGCCGCGCTGTTTGGTGAGCGCCCACCGGATAACGGCGGTGGGGGCGTGAAAGCGGTCGTCTGGCTGGATGCTGGGACGTGGCTACCAGAGAGGCTGGCACTGGATGAGTAACCGCCGCTGGGGTTGCTCATCTGGTCATCAAAGACACTGCCGGCCGGCAAGGAGACATTGAGGCCGTTTTGGACCAGCATAGCCTTGAGTTGGCGGTTCTCCTCTGCGAGACGTTCTTTGTCTTGCGCAATGTGGCTAAAGATCTCCTTGAGACGAAGAACTTCGTCCTCGAGAGCTTTGATGTAGAGCTCCTTACGTTCACGGTGGGTCCTGATTAGGGACGTTAGACGCGATTGGGGTCTAATACGTTTCTGGATGAAGCGCAGCATACCTTTGAGCCTGTCGGTTGAGTTCCTGGCGCCTGGTCATCGCCGGCTTGCTATCTGGCTTGGGACCGCGCCGTTTCTGTGGTTGCCCATCTGTTTCGAGTTAGCCGGTCATAATTCAACATCCAAAGGAAGGGGCCCAAGTGGCCAACCTCTTGTTGTCTTCTTCCCGTTTACCGACCGCAAGAAGTCGAGATTCATCGTTGCTAACGGCGCTGAGTCCTCACCGGTGGGCCCGCCACCGAAGGCTTGTTGAGGCGGTTGCGGTGAGACTGAAGCCATGGCTATCTAGCTTTGTAAAGGCGAATTAAATGGCTTTTTGAAGCGGTGGTGATGGATAATTCCGTGATGATGTGTAAGCAAGCGTAGCTACAATCTTAATGTTAGCCGATAACTATGTTAGAAGACGAATGAAGTTGCGATTGAGAAGGATCAAAGCCTCGGATTCGGTCCAATGATGCGCCGCGCGACGCCGAGATCCGAGATCTTGAAAAAGGCGCCGGAAGCCGGGGTCATCATCGCACGTTAACAAATGCCGAGTGTGGGTCCATAGATAAGGGAGATAGAATCCTAGAACCGGAAGTTGTGTACATGCCTTGAACTTATGAGGTCGTGGTAGTGTAGAGTAGACTCGTCGCAGTAATTGTATTGGTGGGGGTTCGAGATTGAGCGGCCAACGGATCAGAGTGTGCAGTAAGCTTTTGGCTTATTAAGAGATGCATGAGTCCTGGTGCTCGCGGAAGGGGTGCCCCGTTTAGGCGAATGGAAGCAGTGAAACGTGCCGCGGGGAGAGCCGTGTCTGGGGACGGGATCTCTTCCGCGACAACAATTCTTATTACTTTGGTAGGGCATATCTCACCTACGTAGTAGTTCAGGAGCCAGTGAGTGGGTGGTTATCTCCGGCTGCTCGCCGAGTCTTGTCGAGCATGTCTCGTGCCCCGTTGTGATCCGAGCTTGGTGATGTCGGAAGCCCTCGGGGTTAGGTCTTAGCTTGCGGGGTTGTGAGATGGGCCAAAGCTGCTGCTGCGCCGAATAAAACAAGATGAAACTAATGCCAAATACCGAGGATTGAGGGAGACGTTTTGGGCCCAAGATCCGAGTCTTTAAATGGAGTTGAGGGTTGATGATTTGATTACTACACGCCCTAGACTTTCTCGAAGTATTCTGCCCACCACCTGGGATTTAATTTCTCCGGCCTGTCTCCAAGAGCATCATAGGGCAAAGTTAAGCGAGTCGAGGACGGCTAAGATCCAGATAAGGAAGGGTCGCCGTGGTCGCCGTGGCTTGGAGGAACAGACTCTCATCCTGTTACCGGATTTCCTGAGATCCCTGAATCCCCGGTGTGTGTATGTACGTCTCAAGTTATCGGGGCTGTGAACTGTCCAGCTTTGCAGTTTCCTAATCAGGTTGTAAAGTAACAAGTCTCCGAGGCGGAGTAAAATCTGGTCTTTTACAGGATGACTTCGCAAGGAATGTTGTGCAGTCCGGGGCCGTGGAGATGGGAACCGCACATCCAATGGTTGGCAGAGGTTGGCAAAGCGGGAGAGTGGGAGAGTGGGTCAGTATGGCCTTATTTTGGTGGGGATGCGGCGCCTGGGCCACTGTGATTCAGGGGGATGAGATGCTCTTTCAGCCTGGAACTTTCATTGGGTCTTCCGTGCCTCTCCTCGGCCTCCCCTTAGAACCGGGCTCCGTCGCTTCTCACCCAGCGAGGACGGGACGGAGAGATATTCCTAGCCCCCACAAAGTTTCACCCACACAGCATATTGAGATCTTCAGAGCGGCCAACATGATAACGTTTACTGTGTTACCGCATCCGGCCATGCCTTCTCAACGGCCACCCTGCCAGAAACAGCCAAGCACGACTCGCTAGTGGCGCTTCTCAAGTCGCTTTGCTTACTCAGATTGCGCGCACTTATACTACCCTTTAGGCGAGCCGTCAGGCAACCGCAAGAAAACAAGTCAAACACCACCACACATTGTCTATCGGCCAGCCACCAATCCTGGTTATCCGGCGAATAGCCTCTGGTTCGGAGATATGGCCCAATGCGTTGCTGACAGAGTTGCACGAACGGGCGGAGTTAACGGCCAACGGTCCCCTGAGACAAAAGGTTGGCAACTAGCGGGCCTTCCCCGCCTGAGACCTCCCTTGTCTGGCTCATAACGGGCACGTTTTTTTCCATTGGCGTCTTCGATTCATCGGCGATGTTGATGAGTTCTCACAATTAACTGATGTTATTTGTTATTTTACGGCCTCCTTCCCTAGATCCGCAACTTTGTCTGGAGCGTCAAAAATTCTCGGCGGCCAGAAATTGGCGTTCCTGATACTTTGTAGCCATGCCATACTCGGAGATGACCGGAAACACATATAATTCCCTATTATTCCCGTGAGTATTGTAGTCTACGAAGGCTTGATTTCTATTGCCTGATTTGCGGGGTGGCTTGAAGTTGTCTCGTCCTTTGTGTTCGCTTGTGCTCTTCCGGCCGGTCCACACGGCTAATGATGATGACGGCGATCGGTGGCTGACTGGTAGACTTTATCGCAGCAGCCACTGTCAGACTGCCACCGCAACGGCTCTCGGGGGGGGGCAACCTTTTAAGAGAGCGGATTTGGAAGCCAAGGCATCCGCCGAGACGACGGCAACATATCGGAAGTCGGCCGAAAGTGGAACCCCGGGTCCGAAGCTCCACTCTCGGCGTTGGTCTGGCCCAAACTCCGATCTTCCCCGGACGCCCCCGGATGAACCGATACTCAGACAATGACAGAAATGAAGGGTCTCTGTTCCGTTGGATATTGAGCACGGTTTATCATTCTGCAGCAGCATGTCTACCGGAGTGAAACCCGCTGGTAGATCGTGACGATACCGTTGTCCTGCTTCGGGGCGCTCAACGCTCTTTCGCTGCTCGACTGCATGTCGCGCCTTGCTGTCTCAGCATTGAGTTGTTCCCAAGACTTGGGGTGAGCAGGGCTGAGAAACTCGTCACTGCGGCGTGGAAGTTAGCGGAGTGACTGACAGACTGCGGAACGGTTAAGGGTCTCTTAGATCAGAAGCTTGTTTGTGAGGAAAAAGGGGCGAGAGAGAAGGAGAGGAGTCGTCTGACACCTCAAGCTGCACCCAGTTAGATTAGGTAGATTTGGTGCCTGCCCGTCCCCATTCCTTCCCGCGCGGCGGCACGGCGGCTATTCGTTCGAGGAGACGTCGTCTCATGAGGAAATGCTTTCAGCTCTATTCGTAGGCCCGTCTGAAACGCCGAGAGTATATTCTCGCTATTTCAGGGATGTCGTTCCCCCCACTAACCAACACCTCTTCCCTCGCCACCTCTTGTTCGTGCCTCTAGCCTCCTTTCGCCTATCAAATTCCCCAGGTTGTGTCTTAATATGTCCTGCACATGGAGCACTTTGGTCCCTCCCGACGATCTCAACTGCAACGTGCCGATCCGTGCTGCGGAATGCCAAAAGGGAGCAGCAACCCGGGCCGGTCGGGTCATTCAACCGCCTTTGACACAATAGGGCAGTTTGGAACGAAGCTGTCGACTTTGCAACGGCTGACCCCTGTATTAGCTTCCTACTTGGGACTCGAGAATAGCTGAGCACCACCCACCCACGGCTATGCTGTGCCTCCGTCAGTTTCTATATTTTTGCCTGCCATCCGCCCTACCAACGGGCGGCTCTATTCCCCTCCACCCCCTTGGCCTCTGACGAAACTAAAGACAGAGAAACTCTGGGATCGTCCCCCCTATTCGCCAATGCCTTCCCACACTCACCTATCCGCACAAGACGAGGCACCTTGGCCAGCCTTAGTTACCCCCGACGAGCCGAAGTGGCGACAAGGTGGGAAGCACATGGGAGGGTGTTTGCTACACTACAAACAGGCGAGGATGTGTGGAATGACATCGTCCTTTTAGGTTAATGTCAATGACGCCTTCCTTCGCATCGCTAGTTGAATGCCCTCTTTTACATTGTGCTTTGTACAGTGTCGACGCTCCCGACCACGCATGTGTCCTTCCTGAGTTGAATGATACCCTCGACCGAGCCTTGGACATAACTCAAATCCCCGCATGCGAGCTAGTGTCTAAGTTCTTGATGGTTAAGAGGGGGAGGAATGACGAACGGGACAAGCAAGAGATGGAAATCGAAGAGGACGTTGGAAATACGCCCGTAGAACATTTCACCACCTGGTAAAGTTATTGATATCGTCTTCTCCGAGGAGAAACTGAAAGCGTCTTTGCTGTTCCCTCAAGTGGGGTTTGGCATTACTTGTGGTCTCTTGCTAGGATCAAGGAGTTCCTTAAGAATGGACGATCGAGCTCGGGGGTAACTTACCAATCCAAGTTGCTTCTTGCAGCCCGGCCATTGCTATCGCCATCTTTAATCCTTATACAGGCAACCCCTGATTATTGCGTATACCACTCCTCTACTGTGGCATGGGATCAGAGAACGATCATGAGGTTTCATCCCATGAGTTGAAGAGATTGCAGCTTGGTGAAAATAGAACCCGCCGATGAGCATCGTTGAACAGAAAAAAGCACTGCGTACAGAAGCTGGCTTGGTTGTCCCACATTCCACAAGAGTCGATCGAATCGGGATAGTGATAGCGTGATTCCCGATCGCACCGGATTGCCCCCCCTCCCCCCAAACTAAGGGAACACAAGGGTTAGTCTGTAGGATGGTATGGCGTATTGGTGGCGTGTGGTGTAATTTATTCCTGGCTGTAGGTTGCTCTTTTGGGAACTGACAACTACGAGAAGGGCCTATCAGTCACGCGAATCGATGGACGGGTAAGTAGTGTATGTGTTGTGTGGCTAAGCGCCGATTGAATCTCGATAACCTTCCCCGAAACGGCTCAGGGTGGCGACTCTGAGATACACATGCGAGCTAAATTAGCTAATGAGTTTCTTGTTATATTGCGGGGAAACTGCGAAGGGACGCTGTTGAATCAGCCAAATGAAGCGCTAATGACCGGGAGCTCGGCCTGAACCGTGAATGTTTCCGAGAAGACATTGGGCGGTATCTTGTTAGAAGGTTATTGCCCGTCTTAGACCCGGACACAAGAAGCCTGTTACCACTGAGCCGTTATAACCCCCTCTACACCATTTTGACTGCTGAAGTAGCGGCGAGAAAGGGGTTTTACATGTACATCATCGACATACCTGGTAGGGACTATAATGGGCAACTGACGGCGTTTCACAGAGGTATGACAGCACGAACTATAGCTTGGCAACTGATCCACTCTCGCCCACCAAGTGCTACAGCGAACATCCGAGACTCCGGCACAACTCCCGTCCCATCAGTTGGCGGGCTGGAATGGGCTGCAGAACCGGGCTGGGAGCAGGGCTTGGCAGTGCTGTACAAGGTCGGATGTAAGCAGGCCCGTGAGCCGGCGTAGAGACTGTCGTACGCCGGGACCGGCGAAGTCAGCTAGTCGTTGAGGGCTCGACGACTTTCGCCGAGTTGTGAACATGGTTCGGTGCGGTAGATCATGGGTGGCTCGTGGCGAATGCGGTCCAGGCCCCCGAGAAGGATGTTTGGGAGTCTGGGTACCCCAAACCGCGAGCCCAGCGCGACTTGGCTCCTTAGGAAATTGCTTCGCTTATCTCCCGAAGGTCACCCATCTGGGTCTGACCGGTCGGGAGCTACGGGAACAATGAGTTCTTGTCTCCGACCCAGGCAAGAGCTTGGAGTGGTCCGTCTAATGACTGGTTAACCACTCGGTTGATAACTTCCAGACAGCGTCGGCGATCCAAAGACGTGAGCTTGCCGTGTGGTGCCGTCGTGCACAAATAATCCTACCGGCATCTGCATGTATGTACACAGCTTGCGAGCCCAGCATTAGCCCCGGTGTGCTCTGGAGGGGTAGGGGGCAGCTGACTCCGATTTTGGACCTTGCTAGTCTTCGGTGCGAGGACGTCTTGGTTAATACTCTCAGTTTTCTTCCTGGGTTCATGCCATCTCGGGATCCTCCCCAAGAGAAAAGCAACAGGTCTCACACCGGGCAGCTTTGGGGAGGCGGTGCGCCGATGCTGAGGAGGAGGAAGCCTTGAAGAGCGGGACGGCCCCAATGCGTGGTTTCTGGAATGTTGAAAGAGATCTAAGCTTGAACTTGTCTCCATTCTCTTCCCATCTACGAAGAGTATTTTGCGCGGCGCAGAAGCGTCATCGATCAATTTCTCTCGGGTAATGGGGTCACGTCATGGCCTTGAATTGGGGCGAGTCAGCCAACGAAAATACGGGGCAGTCGCAGATATGGAGGGGATATCAGATAGATGTTGGAGAAGGAAGAGGCCAAGGGAGGGGTCCTTTGTGGTGCCGCTGCAGCAATTCCCGGGGAGAGGAGGGTCGGCGGTCGAGACTCGGGGAAACAACGGCGGCGGGCCTGGGCCAATTGTTTTTCGACGGCTTAGACCGTTTGTTGGTGGTTCCGTGGCGCTCTGCAGGTGCAATTGGCGGTGTCATCGAGCATCTCGTGCGACCCGGGGCCATGCATGAGGTGCAGGAGAGGACTGCTGCCACTCGACAGCTTGCTAAGCTTGCTCGGCCAGTTGGCCCTGGGCGCCGCGGTTGAAGCTGGGGGAGGTCACGCTGAGTTGACGATCAAGCCGCTGCGTTACGCCGAGCCACGAAGAGCCGAAGAACTGTGGGGTGGTGGGTCGAATGGGACGGTCGTAGTAAAGTAAGTGAGGGAAGTTCAAGTGAAGGAAATAGACTCAAAGAGGTGATTCATCCATCGATGGTTCTCTGGTCTTTCATGGTGGGTGGGTTTTCGCTTTGAGACGATTTTTCAGTTAATAACCGAGTTATGAGAACTTCTGGTTAAACGACGGGCTAAGAACCCAATGGAAGGGAAAGAGCAAAGTTGGATCCCGCGCCTTTCACTGGCTTGGCGGTCTGCAACAGCATTCCTGACGATTTCCCGTCATGTGGTCCTGGGCCCTTGTTCCGAAATTGGCGACTGGGGAGATGGGGTTGCATTCGAGAGGCCGTGTTTCTGTTGCTGTCGCTTGGCCCGCTTGGCCCGCGAGATCCAGCGGAAAAAAGCACGCGAAATCATGCAGCAGCTGAGGGAGCACTGTGAGTGTTGAGCGCGACAACTCGCAGCATAGAAGTAGCGCGACTTTGGTTCCGAAGCTCCCGCCCGCACTTTCCAAGTAGCAACAACCAGGAGCGTTAAAAGTCCCACCTATTTTGTGCCTGTGATTGGCTAGATTTAGCTTCCCCCGCTTTCAACGGAACCCCACGAAGCAAGTGGGCCACCACACAGTGTGGTTCGTTTCGGCGCACGAGGGAAGGTTCACAGCGGGTGGTCAGTGGTTACTGGGCACTTGGGTGTTCCTCCCGTCATTCTCTGGAAGTGCACTCAGCCTGGGGCGACCAAATCTGGGTGCTGTCACCATTGGGTGTTGTTTTGTTTTTTTGCTCGACTTCGCTCGGTAACAGAGTAACAGTGACTCAGATAAACTGCACCAGGATTTCTGAAACCATTTTTGACAATTTTTCTGCCTTCTGTTAACCAAAGGCCACTGCCCTGGCTAGGCCTATTCTTAGCCATTGTTGGGCACCTCCCCCTCCCACCTTTTTCATTCTCTCCCTGTGAAGAGCAGCACAACTCTGGACAAAGAAACCCCACTTTAACTTTGGCACTCCGAAACAACAAAAAGCGATCCGACGACTCGACAACAACAACACCGCCATCGCCTGGCAGATTCTTGCCCTGGTGCTGGTAACGGCCTATAGCATCCGGTCTGCCTGTGCTTTCTCGGAATTGTCGTCATCGGACGACCTATCGCCCTGCAACTGCAGCCCGTTCCTTCAATTCGCAGCATTCACGCAAAGCCCTCAATAACTCGCCCCGTCGGGCACCAAGCGCCTGGTAACGGCTTTGTGAATACCGCTTCCAGGAAGCCGAATAACCTTCTCCCCGCAAGGCAAACTGGCTTTTCTACAACCATAGCCCGGGCTTTGACCGACTGGCGGCCAAACGACGCCATTTTTCGTCAATCGGGCGTTACAAATCTTCACGCAACCACAGCAGGATACTGCACGTCGACCGCGCCCGTCCCCCCCCATTATGTCTTCGACCTGCGCTCGACTTTAGCATCTGGCATCCCCGCCAAACACCTCCTGGCTGGTTTCTTTGGAACCTCCGGACCACCGCCCGCTTGTCCTCCTTCGAACCTCGAGTCTCCGAGACCTACAATCGCCTCGGCCTTCGACCGTGCTAAAAGAACCGAGAGACGGTCCCTGCCGTCTGGGCCACCATCGATGGTATTGAAACTACACCCGTCTCTTGGAGCTGCCGATAGACCGCAATGGAGGAGGAAACTGCTACCACGCCCAACCGGCTGGCTCCGCCGGCTGTGAGCTCGCTCAGGGCCGGCCCGATGCAGCGGTCCCTGAGCGAGAACATCCGGGAGGAGCGGGCGGAGCTCCGCGAGGCAGCAGAGCAGACCCTCAACGTTATACTGGATCTCAACATCGACGGTACCATACGCTGGGTTAGCCCTTCTTGGGTTGACGTGATTGGAACCCAGCCGGAATCGGTCGTGGGCACGCCCATCGCCGACTTGATCGTTAGCGACAACTCCGGTATCTTTGCGGAGGTCGTCGATAGCATGACCCAGGATGACAGACGGAGCCAGTTTATTCGCTTCGCGGTCAAGCTGGGCCCGTTGTCGAAGCTCGTCCCTCTCGACAACCTCGCAGAGCGCGAGGATGCCTCTCAGCCTGTAATTGTTGATTTGGAAGCCCAGGGCATCACAGTCTTCAGTGGGACATCAGGAGGCGAGAGTCATGTGAGTTTTGCGTGTTCTGTCTTTGAGGCTGCGACATCACACTACTAGAATTGGAGAGTTGATACTGACTCTGGCCCAGACGATGTGGATGATCCGCCAGTGGTCTGCCCCGCGGGAGATCAAGATTGACTTGCCTGCGGTCATTGTTGATACGTTGGGCTCCGGGGCCGAAGTGCTCGCAAGCTATCTAACCCAACTAGCTGAGTCTGGTTTGGACGACCCTGAGACGCATCCACCCCCGCTGCCCGTGCTTTGCAGGATATGCGAGCGCCAGATCCCGCCCTGGTGGTTTGAGAAACACACCGAGTTGTGTTTGCAAGAGCACCGCGCCGAGCTAGACGTGCAAATGTCACAGGAAGGCCTAACGGAGCACCGCCATGCCATCGTCAAGGTACTCGACGCCCTTGAGGCAAGACACAGCCGTTCGTTGGCTGGTGATCAGACCAATCTCCCCGTTGCCGAGTACAAGGGCCTCGCGATCGGTCCCCCGACCTCTTCCACCTCGTCTTCCGGGAACTCGTCTCCCGTACCCGGGGCGGTTCCTGGCAGATCGCGTGAACGTTCCACAGGTTTCGGCCATGCTCGGGCCCGGTCGTTTGCCATCCGCCGACCGCAAGCTAGGATTGTCGAGCTGCTGCTGGATCTCTGCGATACAGCGATTGAGATTAGCACGCCTGCGATCAAGGAGACGTCGCAGACGCCAAACGAGTTCCGCACACAGTCGCCGCAGTCTGAAAGCCGGATCACACAAGTTCTGCAATGGGAGACACCGAGTACGAACACGCTGGAGCAAGAACAAGGGTTGGCCTTGCTCTGTGCGGACACGGAAAAGTTTGCTAAAGAGAAGGTCGAGTCGATTTTCCGCCACCGCAGAATCCTCGAGTACTCGGAGCGGATCCGCATCGAGTTTGCGTACACCGTCCAACTTTGCATCGATGCTGCGATGCGCAAAGCGGCCAAGATCGCCCAAGGCCGCCTTAGTGACTCCGGCGACGAGGACTCGAGCGACGAAATGTGCGACGTGGTGGACGTCGAAGGACCTTCTCCCAACGAAGAGGGTGTCTTCCCCGGTTCCTTTGATGCACCCTCAAGTCTCGCAATAGCCCTCCAGAATGCTGATATTAGCGACGACCCTGACAATCGCCGGTTGTCGGTACTGCACTCTCCGAGGTCGACCAGTCCTAAAGAATGCCCGACGCCACGATCCAATCGTGGTCCGCTCGGTAGCTTGAGTGGCGCCAGCCAGTCCCGGCGCGAATCGATGATTTTCGAAAGCGATGCTGGTGACAGCGATGGGAGTTTGAGGTCATCCTCAGTTGCCTCTCGAGCGCCCCAGCGCACAGATTCGCCCATGTCCGAGTTTGGTGACCTTCGGCGACAAGCGAGCGCCCGTAAACATCACCGCAAAAGCTTGATTCTCCCTGGCACTTCGTCACCACACCGGCAGGAATCGCCCTCGAGAGGTGCGCAGCCACCGTCATCCCCGCTTCGGATGCACAAGCCGCGAAACCTTCCATTCCCGTCGGATGGGCTCATGTCCCCCGATGCGTCGCCGATGCTCCCGAGCAGCGAATTCACATCCCCGAGCATCTCGCACACCTACCATCACCATCGGAGACAATCATCAGCAGCCGTTTCCTCGGCCCCTGGAGAGCTCCCCATCAAGCCACCACCGTCCCCGCGACTTAGTGCTGTTGTTGGTGGACCACAGGCCAAGGCAGTCCCACCTTCGATCAAAGACTTTGAGATCATCAAACCCATCAGCAAGGGCGCTTTTGGTAGCGTCTACCTCTCGAAGAAAAAGTCAACGGGGGAGTACTTTGCCATCAAAGTGCTCAAGAAGGCGGACATGGTTGCCAAGAACCAAGTGACCAATGTCAAGGCCGAGCGCGCCATCATGATGTGGCAAGGGGAGAGCGACTTTGTTGCGAAACTGTACTGGACCTTTTCGAGCAAGGATTATCTCTATTTGGTGATGGAGTACTTGAATGGAGGGGACTGCGCCTCGTTGATCAAGGTCCTGGGCGGTCTTCCGGAAGACTGGGTCAAGAAATACCTTGGAGAAGTTGTCTTAGGCGTTGAGCATTTGCATAGCCGAAGCATTGTTCACCGCGATCTCAAGCCAGACAACTTGCTCATCGACCAAAAGGGCCACTTGAAGTTGACCGATTTCGGTCTCTCGCGGATGGGGTTGATCGGGCGACAGAAGCGGGCACTCAACAGCGGCACTGATACTGCACCTGACCTCTTGAAACAGGGTCCGTTCGCGCGCTCTACCTCGGTAGCCTCGTCCCGATCCACGTCGATGGACCTCCACGGCCGGAACCAGTCCCCCGGGTCGACACCACAGATGACGCCAAGTGACCCCAGTGCGCCCATCGCCCAGCCTTCCTACTTCAACCTGGGCAAGCTCTCCCAGGAGCCGCGGCGGATCTCTAACCAGCGCAGCGATAGCGGCGGTAGCGAGACGCTCACCCACATGCTTGGAGGACTGTCCTTGAACGACCCTCATGTGAACAACTCGCAGGTCATCCTGTCGCCTGCTGAGGGCAGCGAGGTCGATCCGTCTGGCTCTCCCGACCTTGCGTCGCTTTCCCACACGACTACCCACAACAGCGCCGACTCGACGAGAGGGACCCCCCCGCAGCCAGCTATGCCCCCTCCAAACTGGGCGCTGTTCGATCCCGAGGACACTAACCGCCGATTCGTCGGAACACCCGACTATCTCGCCCCCGAGACGATCAAAGGTGAACCCCAAGATGAGACCAGCGATTGGTGGTCTGTCGGCTGCATAATGTACGAGTTTCTTTACGGGATCCCTCCGTTCCACGGGAGTGAGGCGGATAAGGTTTTTGAGAATATCCTCGCTCGCCGGATTCATTGGCCGGACGAAAGCGAGGATGAGGTGTCACCGGAAGCCAAGGATCTCATCAACAAACTGCTGTGTATGGATCCGCACCAGCGCCTGGGATCCAACCGCGATGAGAGCTTCCAGAGCGGGGGTGAGGAGATCCGCCACCACCCATGGTTTGCCGAGGTCAACTGGGATACGCTCTTACAAGACGAGGCGCAGTTCGTCCCGCAACTAGAGGACCCCGAAGATACCGAATACTTTGATGCTCGGGGTGCCACGCTGCAAGCCTTTACCGAGGAAATGGAGGACCAGCACTCGCCGCCTGCGACAGCCCCTGCTGCTGACTACCCGGACCGGCCACACGATGCTCTGTCCCGCGTTAGGGCACAGGTCAACTCGATGAAACGTGGGCTCATGCCGTTGCATATTCCTCCTCACGTCCGTGACCTTAAGAGCCGGCGTTTGAGTGAACCTGTGGCGACAGACGACTTTGGCAATTTCTCGTTCAAGAATTTGCCTGTTTTAGAGAAAGCGAACAAGGATGTGATACAGAAGTTACGAGCTGAAGCCCTAGCTTCCCAGACGAAGCCCACCATTAGTCCTGGCGGCCTTAACAGCCTCACCTCGCCTGGGCCAACGCTCGAAGGCAGTCCAGTTATCACGAATCCCGTCCAGAGGACGCTTTCGAATGCCAAGGCGTCGTCGCATCACCGGCCGCAGTCGCCCTCAGCCGTCAGCCACTCCAACTCGTCGCCCAGCCGTGCTTCGCAACCGTCATCGCCGTTGTTGGTCTCCTTTGTGGCCGGCCCGGGGACCGACGGACGGCGTAAAGCGTCAAGCAACTCGTCCAACCTGTCGCAGCCATCTTCTGGGAATTCGCTGCAGCCGGGGAGCTTCTTTGAAGTGCCGCGCGTTCCGCCTAGTCTGCAGAAAGCGGCCACTACCATTGCGGCCACGCCGACGCCCAGCAAATCTAGGGGCAGTGCGCCTGCCCAGCTGCCCGTCTCGCCGCAGAAGCCGCTGCCAAACCATATCTTGACCACGCCAAGACATAGCAGCAGCTCGTCGGGCGGGCGATCGCGCTCTCTCACCGTTGGCTCCCAGGAAGGCAGCCCAGTGACGTCGGATATGTTGGCGGCTCATCACAGAAACCGCCGCAGCCAGGTCTTTGACATGTCCCCTTCGTCTTCGGACAACGAGGGAGACAAGGCCAGCGCGCTGCTTCGTGTCCAGCGGCGAAGACAGAGCAACCGACGCATGTCGTACATTGCAGCTGGGGACGGCCCAGTCTTCCGTCCCCTGGATGTGCTTATCTGCGACGACCACCCCGTCTCGCGGATGGTGATGGAAAAGCTGCTCGAGAAACTGCGGTGCCGCACCATTTCTGCCGCGACAGGCAGCGAGGCGATCCGGTATGCCATGAGCGACATTAAGTTTGACATCATGTTCCTAGAGTTCCGTCTCCCGCAGCTCTCGGGCTCCGACGTCGCGCGCATGATCCGCGACACGAAACACGCCAACACGCACACCCCCATGGTGGCCATCACCTCGTACCTGAAAGAGCTGCCCGCGCCTCAGTACTTTGATTCACTCGTCGAGAAGCCCATCAGCTCGTCAAAATTGACCGAGGTTCTGACTACACTCTGCCACTGGAAGGCGCCGCTCCCCGGCCAGACCCATTCACTGTCTCTGGCACTCCCGCACCCAGTTCCCTCTGGTCTGCGACAAGAGAGCTTGCGTCTTGAAGACAGCCCGACATCGGCTTCTTCGGGGTACATGGTTCGGTCGGGCAGCAGCTTCCGCGAGGACTCGATCAGTTCTAGTCTCTTTGGGGACTCAGAGTCGGTGGCCACCGATGATATTCCGGTGCTTATCAGTCGGAAGCCAACGGGAGACTGGGATGACGGCGGGCTCGGGATATCGGGCCCGGAAGAGGTGATAGTCCCGGGATCCATCAACCCACCGATGTCTCCGGTCCAACCGCGCCTGCTCACGCAGCAGTCAGCACCCCCGCAAATCGAGCATTTGGATGTGCGGCCCAAGAGCCTCATACCGCAGCGCTCGCTAGAGAAGCTCAAGGCGAAGCGGGAGTCGATCGAGAAGCGCCGGTACGAAGGTAGCGTCGACTCCGCGGATGACGAGGATGATGAGCTCGGCCTAAGCACCACAGCTGCCGGCGCGACTGGCCCGTCAGCGAGCCACACAAATTCGACTAGTGGCAGCGGCGCCGGCGGTAACGGAAGCGGCAACGGCAACAGCAGTGGAAGCAGCAGTGGTAGCGGCAGTGCGAGCGGTAGCGCCAACAACAGCAACCCCGGATCACCCTCCTCCACCCCAGGCCAGCAATATCGCAGCAAGTCTGTGCTGCCGTCCTCAAAACTCGGCATCGAGATGATGCGCGCCAACAGCCACGATAGCATGAATATGGGGTCTGAGAGCAGCCCGAACAGTAGCACCGCCGAGCCTATCACCCAAGTCGCCACGCCGAAGCAAGAGCTACCGCAACCTAGCTTTACCTCTGCTCTTACTACTACCCCTGCAGCCGTGTCAGGCGGTGGCTTAGGCGCGCTCCCAACAACTTTGTCCACCCCGCCTGGCCATGGCAATAGCAGCAGCAGGGAAGCACAGGCGGCAAGTGCCCGGGCAGAGATAGATGGCGATGCCGATGAGACGCCGCGGCCGGCGTCGTCCGTGGCCGGCAGAGCCGGGGTGTTGCTGGAGGATGAGGATCCGACGCCTAGACGGCCGCCTGTGAGAACGGTTGATCGGGATGAGGCTATGTCGCCTTTTCCTGGGGCGATATAAATTGTCGGTTGGTCTGGTGCGGTTATTGAGGATGGCAGCAGATCATCAGGGGAACACAAGGAACGAACGAACAAACAAACAGAACGTAATATCCTCTCTTTTGTCCTGTCTGGTCTATATTTCACGTTTTTAGCTTTTTTACGCCTTGTTTTCTTTTATTTTTTTTTAGCTTTGCTGGTTTTTCTAGCCTTGCTAGTTCGGCTATTACTTTCTCTCTACTTAGTCTCTTAGCTTTTTTCTTTGTCTCGTTTTTTTCCCCTATCTACGTTTTTATCAATCCTCCCTCTCAAGCGTGGCGTTTCTGGGCGTGGTAGGGGTTACCGGGGTTTTTGGAGGGCAGGAGGAATGAATGGCAGGGATGCGTTAATCTGCTCAGTCAGTCAAATCAGTTTGGTCGGTTGGGTGCGTTGGTTTTTGACTTTGGGGCAGAAGAGGGGGTGGATGGGACAAGGTGGCAGACAGGCAGACAGACGGGCAGACAGGATGAGTGATTTGAACTGGTTTGGGTTGGCTTAGGTTGACTTGGGTTGACTCGGTTTGGTTTGGTTTTGGTGTGTTGTGTGTCTCTCTGTCAGTGTGAGAACGTTGTTGTGATGGATGAGTTTGGACTGGGTTTGGTCTGGTGACTTGAATCACTCTCTGTGGAAACATGTAGGAAGAAATTGCATCACTTGTCTCCTACCTACTTGTCTGCTTACCCACTTTGTTTGGTCTGTTACCGCAACTATGTCTTGTTCCTCCGCTTGTTCCTCCTTTTGTTCCTCCTCTTGTTTTCCTGTCGTCATCCTTTCTTCTTCAATGTGAGAACATGGATTCGGCCATGATCATGTGTGTGGATAGGGACTGTGCGTCACACGCACGCCGCAGCTGTGCTTTTTCTAGTTCTACAGAAACTGGATTGGATGGAGTACGCATGCCGACTTCATTTTGAGGAAAACCTGCGTCCGAGTTTGGGGTTAGGGTTTTAGCTCTATGGCTTCTCTCTCTCTCATCAGCAAGCAGGCAGCCAGGCAGGGAGTTTGGAGCACACGTTTTGTCTCGTGGTTGTTTTGTCTCACTTGGTGTTTGTTGTTTTCACGACTGGTCCTTGGTGGGTTAGTTGGAGGGCAACAGACGAGGGCGGGGTATGATAGATGTGCGGGAAGGGGATTAAAGCGGGAGGCTTGTGGAAAAGAGGTGGAAAAAAAGGAAACGGAGCAAAATTAACTTAGTTGTTTTATTGTCTCGTAGTGGCATACTCACATTGGTCCGGAGGTTAACGGTTCTAAGGAGCTGTGAATGCGATTCATGATATCTTACAGATTCCTTTGTGTGTTGAGTGGCTGGATCTGAAGATGCATGTTGTTACTTACGATATTACTGGATATGGTTCGCTGATAAATGATAGATAGCAGAAGAAACAGAGTGCATGTGGTGGATCATCCCTCGCGGCCCATCAAACCGGGTTTGCATCGCTGTCCTGTTTGTGTTGAGTCTCTCCTTTGCAGCTGTGTCACTCGGTTGCCTCAGCCACACAACAACTCTCTCTCCGACCTCTGACGAAAGCGTACGTAGGCAGGTCGACCGGTGGTGCTGACGGAGCAGCTTACACCTGAACCCCAAACCAAAAAAGGACGGAGTTTACGGAAAACAAAAATAAACGATCCCAATATCCCTCAACACACCTCCATTATTCATCGCGAGTTCACCCGAGAGTTAGTTATAGAAAGAAGAAAAGAAGAGCACTGGGCTTATGCCCCTGCTCAAGCTCGGTGTCTGTTCTTGGTAATGTCCCACGAGGCTCGATGGGATGTGGCTTGCGGGGCTTGCCCAATTGCCGGACTTGTCCTTGGAAGGACAACCTGGTGGCCTGGCGTGTGCTGAAATCAGTGGTGAAGTGAGACATTTCTGCTGCGGCCATTTCCATCCGTCGGGACTCGACTGGGCTGGATGGGCCAGGGTTCTGAGGATGTACACACAAGTCACTTTTTTGTTCTCGTTGTTGCGTCTTTGAGCAGTTCAAGTCCCCTGTTCGCTAAAAAGTCCGTGTTTACACGTAACGTCCAATACAGGTGTATTGCGCTTGAAAGATTCGTCACTCCAGGAGGCTCCTGGAGGACAGGTTTGACTCAACAAGCACTGTGAGTACCTAGGAAGTTCAATGAAGTTAAATATGACCAATATTTGGCTCGTCTTGCCCCCGAACCACCGTGCTTACATAGTAGATCGATTAGCAATATATTCGGCTTGCGCCGAACCTCAACTTAGAGCCCAGTGTCACCCTAACCCTAACCCTAACCAGCAACCCTCAACCGTATCACCACTTCAACTCGCTCTCTTTCCCTCTCAACCCCTAGCACAGATAGCGTGGCTCAAATGCACCTGTGCTTCTACTTACAGCATCACACCCCTCTATTCCTTCACACACTTGCCCCCCAAAGCGGCGTTGGTAGTTGTTCCGGTGCCAAATATTCGTCAAACTCGAGCTCTTCCTCGACAGGGGCATATCTAGCCAGATTATCCCCCCCAAACCTCTCCTTCAGCCATTCCTGGCGCAGCCTATAGTTGGTTTCCCACGCGTCTGGAATCCAACCGTCAAACCCCTGTAGGTTGTCCTTCCAGTAAGTCCACATGGGGTTTGGGGGGAGGGTCGTGCCGTCGTAGGGTATGATCTTGCGTTTCGTCTTGGTGTAGACTACCGAGATGTTGTAGTCGATTAACACGACCCGTGGTGAGATCATGTTGTTTGGCTCCTCCGGCTGCCCTTCCATCTGGTCCTCGAAGAGGGTTAGGATGACGTTGCGTGCGGCCAGATCCCGCTGGTTGATGCCCTTGAACCGCAACGTTGCCTCCCCGTCCAGGATTCTGGCCAGCACCTCTAAGCGGTATGCCTCGCTCAACATTCTGGCGGGTGTGGGCGCCGGTCCGGTACAGAGTTCGCGGAGGCTCTTCCCAGGGATATACTCGATGAGAATGAGGCGGACTGAGCGGGATTGTGGAGGCGTTTTCTTCTTCGCATTGCCCATCTGGAGGCTAAGGGTAAAAGTCCATGAACCAAAATACTTGGGCGCGAAGGACCCGGCCTGACCGATGGTCTGCAGATGTTCGTACGCAGCGGCCTCGCGGCTGTAGTCCTGATCGGCGGACCATGTGACATCGCAGGGCACGCTGGGTGCGTCCTTGTGGGGGAAGGAATAATAGAGTGGGTCGTAGATTTTGGCCACTGCCTGGAAGGGGAGGCCATCGTCGACAGGGCTCTTGGGCTTGATGTTGCAGAGGACCAGCTGGGCGTCTCGGTCGTCAGCGACGGCGAGTTCGCGGGTCACGGTCACGGACAAAGTGTGGATTTGTGAGGTGGGAGAGTCTGCTGTTTCGAGTGGCGGGTTGGCCAGGAGAAGCTCGGTTTGCCTGAGGGTTCTCAGGTCATGTTGGGACACGATAGCCCGTGGCGTACTACCGTAGGCTTGTCCGCCAAAGGGAGCGGGCGGGATGTGGGGTTTGATATCGACGGTGAAGCCCGTTCGGTAAGGGCAGGGTGGTTTGTCCGGGTCCGCAGGTGGACTCCAGAACCGGAACTCCGGGGTCACGGGGCGGACCGGAGCCGGGGACGGTGATCGCATGGTGGGTATGTACCGCTAGGGGCCAGCAGAGCTGGAGTAGCGGTGACTTTGAAAACAAAGTTCCAAGCGAACCCCGCATCACCCGGGGCGCACCAATTAAAGCACGTACCGCTGAGACGGGTCATCGAGGACGAGTGCATGGCACCATGCTTCTCGGGAAGGGCCAGTGTGTAGCTGGGAATATCAAATGGTACTGGGAACTACTATCGGGATTCAGTCTTGGAAATCGTACAGGAGGGAGCGGCAGACAGGTAGTTGAAAGCTAGGTAGACCAAAAAAAAAAAAAAAAGAAAGAAAGAAAGAAAGAATAGAGAACGGGAACCTTCCAATCAGTGACAAGGCTAGGATCACAAGCCGGTACTCCGAGTGGTTGAGATTCATGCTTTGGAGCATTCCCGTAAATGTGGCAAAGTCGTAACCCGGTATTGCCTAATTACCTATTCCTAACTTAAACCGAAGCAGTTTCCGTTCTAAGCACGTTGAATTGCAAAGCCAAGGCTTAGCTAGCGATTCGAATTTGGGAATACAGATTATAGTAGACTCTTCGTTATCTAAAGTGTCAAATTCAAACGTTACATGATCTGGTGGAGCAAGGCATCAGGCAAACTGGGTGAACTTTAGGAGTGAATGTCCCGAAATACGTATATACTAGCGCGTAGAATATGTAGTTCAGCAACTCGATTGAGAGGAAGATCGAAGTTACGATTGGCAATGTAATCTATAGTGCGATGCGCATTATAAGGGACTCGATGATTCAGGACATGTATGATGATATAAACGACGATACAAGTGAAAGACAACATGATTGATAATGTAAACAGCAATACACCGGACAAGATAACTGACATGGACGGTCGCGGTAATGGACATGCCAAAAATTTCACGTTACCTGGGAATTGTCACCCAAACAGCCGTTGTTGAAATACCGCCGCGGATTCGTCGAGTGTGGTCCCAGTTTACCGAGCCCACACTTTCAGCTGCGCAACGCTCGCGTGCCTTTTCCTGTCTCCACCACATGGCTGGTTCCTCGCTTAACCGGGGTCGGGTCCGTTCGGGTCCCCTGGCGAAGCAGAAACAAGAGGAGGGATGAGACAGGTTGGTTCGCGCTGCGCGGGTTCCTTTCGGGCCTGGGGGCGGATACCCCGCGGGAGCTCCCTCTTTCAGGCCCGCGTTTACGTACATGTGGTGGGCTGGTCAAGTCCGGATTCAAGACCGAGGTTGCGGCCCTTTTTTCCCCTTTTTGATACGTGGGCACAGACCATATGTAAGATACTGGTTGGTACCTAGCCATGAGAAGGAGAAAAGTTCCTTTCCGAGCAAAGATACGGCCTGACTGCCTGCCCTTACGTTGCCCCCCCCCTCGGCCACCGAAACCGCCGGCCTCGGCTGGTGATGGGATGATGGGATGGCCTCTTCTTTACCCTCGCACAGAGGGACGTCAAGAAGAAAACTCAGATGAGGAAAGAGGGCACGCGACAGCTGCAGCAACGACGTCGGATGAAGAGGGGAATATCCAATGGAACGGAGGTGGCTTGACTTGGCGATGCCGCGATGCTGCGTGCCAAGTCAAAGCTAGAGTCGGGCCAAGCGTGGAAGTGCATGGCGAAGCCTGTGTCGCGCGGGAGGGCGTTGACGAGCTCGGAGGAGTTGGAAGGGACACAGAGGGCGATGTGGTTGTGGAATGGATTCCTGATTGGTCAGTCAAGGATGAATGTGGGTCGTTACCCGAAAAGGTGAAGGGTTCCCTCCATGTCCACTGTTTCCTTCCTTGAAGAAGCCGGGTGGAATGGAACATCGAAACAGAATGTCCTGCGGACCGAACCAACAAGCAGGCGACCCCTCGGCCGTTCCGTGGACCTTCTGAATACCCACACGAATGATTCTTCATTCCTTCTCACATTTTCCTCGCATCACTCGCAGAAGAAAGCGTTCTCTGACAGCGCTGCGGGGTGGGGGTCAATCATCTGATGCCTGGTTCTGCGTTGCAGCTTTTCCGGTTTTCGCCAAGCCCGGCCGATGGTTTGGGACGGGGGGGGCGGTTTTTAGATTTCCCCAGATCCAATCGACGCACCACGTGGGTGGGTCTCCCGCTGTGGTTGGCTTACCTGCGGGCCAGGAACCGAGATCTGCGCTAAAACGTTACTGCCGCTGGCTGGACCTGGCCCTTTCGGTTTTTTCGGGGTCCCATGGGATCCATCTCAGAATTCTGCCACTCGGTCACAGGCCTGTCGACACCACCGATCAACAACGTGCGCAGCTTCTTGCCTGTGGTTTGTCGGCTGGATGCTCGCTGGATGCGAGGGCTGGTTCACGGGGAATTTGACACAGCTTGGGTTGCTTGGCTGGCGGAATTAAGCCTTCGATCAGAAGGCTTGTTTCCCGGCAAATGTTGCCGAGAAGCGAAGAAGCGACTTGGCAGAGGCAAGCTGGATGACGACAAGCCCGTTGACGTCGACCGGCGATGTGGTGGGCTCGGACCGTGATAAGTGGTCGTGATGATGCTGCATTGCTGTGTCCCTCCCAACGGAAATCCTCTTACGGCAGGCGGTGAAAAGCGCGCGGGGGTTGCGCGGAGCGCTCGGCGACTCCACCATGTTAACGTAGGTTTCCAGCTGTCTCAGTCGGCAACACGGCATTCGGTCTGGGGGTCCCTCGAGTCGCGCGATGCGGTGGAGAGGAGAGAAATTGGTCAAAAAGGGTGGGGTGAGACAGATCGAAATCGTCCTCGGTCAGGCCCGTTTGTAAGTATACGCCGTATTGCTTCGTTCTTTTGTGATTCTTCTTTTTGTACGCCGTCTCGCAACGAGTCTTGACAAGCGATAGACACCATAGGCTCGAAAGAATTTCCGTTTTCAGAGCACGGAGAGGGAAACTAGCGAATGGTATCGGCTGGAGCATGGACACGCGACCGCTTTCCAAAATGGGACGGGCTAGTTGCGCCTGTTGCTGCTGCGGGCATGGGTTTTCGCTGTTGTATTGCTTGGCCAAGAAGCCCGAGACGCAACTCCCACTGCAAATGCAACTGTCAAGCCAAGCCTCAAGGAGAATTGCCTCTCGGCTCCCGGGGTGCGCCGTTGGGGCGAAGGTAACCTGGTGGAGCCTGTTAGGCCTTGAAAAATACTCACATTTTCGCCCTCTGAATACACCACGCAAGTTTTTTTCTTGATCAAATCCGCAGGCCGGGGTTTCCGTCATTGGCCCAATGATCGATCATTACCAGTCCCTTCGGGCTCATGTACCGCAGGGTACATGACCGGCCTCCACAAGTCTCTCTTCGAAACCCATGCACCCATAGACCCATGCGGCCCCTCCCCCACTGCCGTGTATCGATGAGTTCCATGCTCTTTGCGTTAGGTTCCCTTGCCAGGTTGCGGCTTCCTTTCTTCAGACCGGAGCACGCTCGGTCCCGTTTGAAGCTAAGGTTCCCCCTCTCGTTTTTCTACCCATTCGGCCCTTGACATATTTAAAGTCCTGTCCGCCCACATTTTCCACCAACTCCTAAACTTCACTGTCTCCAGAGCTCCCTCCACCCCTACACGTAGACCCTCTCCTACCTTTCTCGCCACCCTGTTGGCACTCCCTCGTCCCCTCAGGGTTCAGGTTTAAATCCCTTCTCCCTCTCTTACACACCCGACCTCGGTCGGCACACACCCCCGGAGAAATGGCCGACGCGATCCGGGAGCACCCCCGGCATGACCCCAACGCCGGCGAGATCCCCGTCCCCCACGGCCCGGCGACCGGCAACGAGCACGGTCACTACCCAGAGACCACCCCCGGTGGTGCCACCGACCATGAGCGCGCCATCTTCTCGCACTTGACCCGTCCGGACGACCTCTACACCGCGGACGGCGTCTACTGGGCCGACCTTCCCCTGGGCAAGCGCATTGCCTTCGTCAACAAGGTCCAAAATGAGGAGGCTAAGCGCGAGCTGTCCGCCATCGGCAGCATGATCAAGGCTGACCCCCTGAGCCCGATCTCGTGGTACTTCCGCAACGCCGTCCTCCCCGGCGCGGGCCTCGGGCTGGAGGGTTACGTGCTGTTCAGTATCGGTAACCTCCAGCCGCTGTTCGCATCGGCCTGGCCCGAGTGCTGGGGCAAGCACCCAACCGAGTGCAGCTCCAATTGGATTGCCTCGGTTACGTATCTCGAGGTGATTGGCATCATGGTGGGTCAGATGGCTGTCGGTGTCATTGGTGACTGGATTGGCCGTCGCTGGGGTCTTATCCAGGACGCTGCCATCATGTTCGTCGGCCTCCTCATGATCACGGCGAGCTGGGGGCTTAACCTCAATGGCTGGGTTATCTGCTATGCCTGGTCGTTGTTCTTCTATGGTATGTTGACTTTCGCTGACGTTGCACTGGCACGACATGCTAACCCGCTGTAGGTTTCGGTGTTGGCGGTGAATACCCGATTACCGCGACCTCCTCGATGGAGAATGCTGTTGCGTCTGGGAAGCTCTCGACTCGCGATGATCGTTTGCACCGTGGCCGGAAGGTCACCACCGCATTCTTGATGCAGGGCTGGGGACAACTGGTTAACCAAGCTCTGCTGATCATCCTGCTCTTGATCCTTCACCATGGCGATGGGAACCCGCCCTACAGCATCACCACCGTCCAATGGATCTGGCGTCTATCGTTTGCCATTCCCGCGGTCGGCACGCTCTGGCTCGTGTACTACCGTGCCTACAAGATGCCCCACGCTAGCCGGCAGCTTGCGGCCGCCAAGAAGAAGAGCAACGTCACCGGCTACGACCTCACCTCCCTTCGCCTGACGGGCAGCATCTTTGGCGGGCGTCTTCTCGCGACCGCGGGTACCTGGTTCTGCAACGACGTCTTTTTCTACGGAAACAAGCTTTTCCAGGCCCAGTTCATCGCCGTCATCAGCGACAACCCGAACTCGGTCCTGACTGGCTGGATCTGGAACTTGTACAACGTCATTGTCTCCCTGGCCGGTTACTACCTCGCTTCCCTCCTCATCGACAACAAGTTCTACGGCCGCAAGATGATGCAGCAGGTCGGGTTCCTCATGTGCTTCATCATGTTCGTTGTCCCCGCCTTCAAGTATGACTACTACACCTCGCCGGCCGGCATCAAGGCATTCCAGGCCATGTACTTCCTGTCTTCGTTCTTCAACCAGTTCGGCCCGAACAGCGTTACATTCCTGGTGGCAGGCGAGGTCTTCCCCACCCCGATCCGCGCTTCCGCTCACGGCTTCAGCGCCTGCATTGGCAAGGCTGGCGCCCTGCTCGCTTCCGTGCTGTACAACTACATCGACACTCCCACCAAGTTTTACGTCGTTCCCTGGTTCGGTCTTGCCGGTATGCTCCTCACCTGGCTCTTCCTGCCCGACACCACCGGGCTCGACCTCAAGGAGCAGGAGCGCCGCTGGGCCTACATCCGTGCCGGCCGCGACTCGGACTACCACGGCATTGCCATCCACCCCAAGCACTTGTCCCTCTGGGAGCGCATCCGTGGCGTCGGCAAGCACTACAACCCGGACCTCGACATCAAGCAGCAGATTGAGGACATGCGCGAGGAGTGGGCCAGCAAGGAGTGGCGCCGGCGCCAACGTGAGGCCGGTGGCGATGCGACGGGTGCCAATGACGATTTGGAGCACGACGACGAGTGGTCCGATCAGGTGCACGAATATTTCCGCAAGACAACCGATTTCGGCAAGACCACGGATGGCAATTTGGGGACTGGATTCGGCCAGCCTGAGAAAGCGAAGCCGGAGAAGGTTGATGACGGGTCGAATGAGAAGAGGGGGTCCAGTGTGTCATCGGCGAGTTAAGCGGGCTTGACAATCATGCTATGGGGGGGTTTCTGACTACTGTTTTGGTCCACAGTTGGAGTTATATAAGGAGAATGGGTATATACCAATTTATTTTACCTTTTAAGTTTTCAGTGATCTCGACCACGATTGACTACGTGTGCGCGTGATGATGTCTCCGGTCTCGTAATCTGTGCGCCCACATCCCAAAAGCATTTAAGCAGCAAATCGACCTCGAGCCCCCGAAAAGCATATCCCCCGTCCCCCAAGGGTCCCTCGATGTACCTCTACTCTTTGACAAGAAGAAAGACCTACCTTACAAAGCCAAAGTCCCCTTCTAGTCCCCCTTACCCTTGACCACTCACGACCCAATAAGAAACACGATAGTGTTACACACGCCCACACGTGCAAGGCAAGCCGGATACTTATTGGCTCAATGTGAAAGCGTAGACTGCGTATTAGCTATTTCCGTAAAGGTGTATGTATGTATGTATGTGTGTGATGTGATCAGTTGATGATAGGTAGTGAGCGAGCCCGGGAGCCCAGGAGTCCGGGAGCTTGGGACTGCATATATTTGTGTGTGTGTGCCTGCGTGTGTGTGTGTGTGTGGTGCGCGAGTAACATGCAGAGATTATGCGGAATGTGAGTAGATATCTGCTTACTATTTATTTGTCATTAGTTGGTCGTGGGGATACGGGGGATGGGTTTCTGATGGGTTGGGGGGTATGTATGTGTGGGTGTTTGGGGGTTAAGGTTCTTCACTAAGTGGTGGGAGGACGGGAGATATTGGACGGGGGATAGGATACCTGGATTAAGTGACGATAGGGGGGAGAGGATGGGGGGCGTCGAATGAGTGATGGAGAGTAGTCGCGTGAAAATCAAGAGGGGAAAAGAAACTGTAGAAGTCTCGGAGAATCCCCGGTTTGCAATCAGTCTCAACTGTGATGCCTAACTGAAAGTTTCCTAAGTACCGTTCCATGATACGCGGAGCCTTGAGTTCCGCTACTAGGCATATATATCTCAGATCAAAGCACGATGACCAATGAAAGTGACGAAAACAGTTGCGGGGCGGTCAGTTCTATATTGTATCATATACCCACCCACCTCTCATTCCCTTAAACTCATTCCTTATTCTGGGCTAAAGGTAAGCACGAACCATATCCAAACCCAAATAAAGTCAAAGGTAAATTATAACACACAGATATCCTTGCTTCCATGACACATGGAAACCATCTATATACCGAGCACATGTATCAAGCTACCCAAACCCCAATTTTCAGGGGGCCCTCAGGTAACCTCACTGTAACAAGTCAAAAGCGCCGTCCGTTCCGGTTCCTTATTCACCATTAGGCTTATCCCACCGCGATATACCGTTCCTTTACGTTATCAAACAATAAATTCTGATCATCTGAAACTCACATTTTCCTTTACTGCCCATTCAAATATATCTACTCCTCCAGTCCATAGATGCCCTTGACAACTTCCCAATGCCACGCCGTGGCATCATCCACGGCCTTCAGGTCCCTCAACCAGTCCATGTATAACCCCACGGTCTCACCAGCGTCTATGTCGAACCTTTCACCACACAGGGTGCCTCGGATCTGCCGCAAGATTGGGACTGTCGTGGTGAGGTGCAGTAGTACCAGAATACCAAGGAAATTCTGTGTGAAAAAGAAGGAGCACGGTATCAGACGTTTGTTGCGGCAAGTTGGAGACATGGCCACGGGCCACTTCAACGTTGCCTTCAGACACTCCGCCACGCCAATGGCGTCGTCATTGGCCACGGAGTCCGGGTGGTGTAGCGCTTTGTAGACGAACGGTCGATGAATCAGATATTTCGTATAGTAATAGCGGGAACGGAGAAGCGCAACCTGCACGTCAAGGACGTGCGCATATCGAGGCGGAGGTGCATCGAGATCGGTCGAGAACATGGGCGGGGGCTGCCCCGAGGCTTGCGCTTGGGGCTGTTGAGCGCCGGTAGGGACAGTAGGGGTCATCGGGGTCACCGCGGGGGCAAACAGAGCAGAAGCAGTGGTGTTGTAGGGGTCGGTAGTGGCACCGTTGGGGAAAGAGCCTGGGGCGTCTTCCTGCCAACGTAAGTGCTGGGGGAGCATGCCGCGCCACTGCTCGAGCTGAAGAGCTAGTTGACGAATCGTGACTTGGTTGGGGCCGGGTAAGGTTGACGTCGGGCTGAAAGGAGTTGATATCTGACTCAGTGACGTGGAACCTGGGTTGCCTTGATGTTGAGGTAAGTGCTTCGAGTACCTCGGACTGGGCGATGGAAAGAAACTGACCTTGATTCAAAGCACTGTGGAAGTCAACCAACAGTCGCCGTAACACAATCTGAGAAGCGAAATGTTCTTGGAAATAAGATTCCTGATTGCTCATATAGTCATCGTCCGAGTATGGCCCACTGAAGTCGGGCAAGCCGACCACGGACTCCATCCGTTCCAACCCCGTAAGTGGGAAGCCAAGCTCCAGATTCAAACCGCTACAAGAACAACGTTAGATTTTGACATTCTTGTCAACACCAAAAGGTTTGGATGTGACCGTACGTTTCCATCACTGAGCAATGCCAGAAGGCCCGACGTGTCAGGTCGGCAGTCGGTGAATTCAGTATCCCGGGATGACTGGATAGTGTTAGTTCTGGGGAAGAGAGGCCGAGGAACGGGAAAAATACCTGGTGATAAGCGCTTGACAGGCCATTGATGCGGATGTAGTCATCCTCCAAAAGTCCTAGGGTACCGTCAGAAACCCGGAAAAGTGTCTCGACTGCTCAAGCAAGGTAAACATACCAGTGGGTAAAAACAGGTCCCATAATAAAGGCTGCAGAGAGAACACATGTTAGATACCAATCCACAGCTGAGCTCTTTAGTCAACTCCATGCTAGTATTACTTTACCTCGCAAGTTCGAAAATCTGCACGTTCTCGACAGTGCATTCCGTCAAGTTGAAGCCCATCCTGCGGCGGGCCTCGTTGAAAAGATCTAGCCCAGGTGGTCGGTCGCTTGTCCCTCCTTTTATACCGCTTGCCCGGCCATTGTAAATATGTATCGGCGGACCTTCCGTCCCGGCAATCGCGACCTCTCCCAGAGCGAATACGAGGAAAGCAATGGTGGAAGTCATGTTGTTGTTGTTGAGTCCATGGTTGAATAATGCGGGAAGTGTGTCGCCCATGAAGGACTGTCGACTGAGGATTGGGCAGAGAAGGTTGATACTGTCAAAATAGGCGTTGCCCAACCTTTGCATCGTGTCCCAATTTAGATGCGCAGCGGTGAGGGGAATTTGAGAGGCTATTGGGCCATGTAAACTGATGGAAGAATTCCGCCCTACCGGCGGCTCTGATTCCGTTGGTAGGCTTTGAATGGCAGCTCGGCGAAGAGCAACCATGCTGGCCGGTCCTTCTCGTTCTAGCATCGATAAATCGATATTCGGTATTTTTGGCTGTATCGATGCAAAGAGCTGCTGTATTGCTGGCCACTTGAGCATCTGATGGACGGACGAAACATATTGATACTGCTCGTCAACACCCCCGGATGCGACGCTCGACACGTCTGGAAAATGGTAGGACGAGGTCGTAGGAACGGGGGGGTCTAAGCCGGTTTGGGTGGCATGGAGCGGTGATGGGAGTGAATTTGACGGCGCTGGATATGCCGTCGCTGGCGAGATAGGGGGCCGTAGAGTTAGGCTATCGATCTTGCCTTCCAAATTTCGAATCCGATCGAGGATCTCAACTAGGGTCTTGTCTTTCCTATCCCGCAATCAGTCAATATCCCCATACCATGGCGTTAAAAGCAGCAACACGCACTTGGTCGGTTGAGGTTCTCGGTAGTTGCACTCGAGCCGGAACTTTTGGCACGTGCCACACTTAGGTCGTTGTTCATCGCATCTTTGCTTACGGCTGCGGCAGGTATCACAGGCCTATCAAAAGGATCAGAGCTGGAGACCGGCGGCGGGGAGGGGGAGAGAAAGGGGCACATCAAGGCTCGCGAGAGAAAATGACCAACGAAGGTCTGTCCAGGGGGCTAAATGGTGTAGTACTAACTTGTGCTGCTATGGCACCTCTCTCCTTCCTCAGGCTGGCGCCCGAGAGTCCAGCGGAGGGGCTGGCATTAGGGTTGTTGGAGTAGCCTGCAGGCTCCGAGGTTTGAGTGCCCGGGGTGCCTGAAATATCGCTCATCCTCCTCTTATGCGGCGTCCTGGTGGCCGTAGAGGCGGTTGACCAGCGAAGTTCATCCACCGAGACGTGTCTCGGTTTGCTTGTCCTAGGCACGTGAGGGGGCGTGGGAAACACAGGGGAGGAGGGCAATGGTGCCGGCGAGTAATTCGGTTGCTCGACTTTGTATTCCCTATTCAGCCACGACATCACAGATTAGGGAGGGAATTGATCGGCCGGGCTATTCGATGCCCACGCCCACCTGTAATAGGCGGAAGGATTGTGGCGGGCGCGGGGGAAGTAGGCCCAGGGGGGATGTGACCAGGAGAGCTTCTATCCCTAAAAGGGAGCCGACAGGGACGTGGAGCGCAACGGCGGTATGAAGGTGATATTGAAACGGGAAGGGGTATATACGTATGTTCGGGATGGGGGAAGACGGCGAATACAGTGTGGTATGCGGACTTCGTGTCGTCTGTGTGGGATTACGGAGAGAAAAAGGAATCGGTTACGGTCAAGGTCTGGGTCGCTGCTCGTGCCGCACGCCTCTCGTTCTTGGGCGAGGGTTTGATGGGAAAGTTGGTGATCAGCTCGTGAGTCGTGGAGGTCGGAGAGTGAATGCGAGGCGGCCCCTGCTGTGCCCGAGGCTGCTGCTTCCGAGAAAGATGGAAATGGCAATCAAGGTTCTTGGCTGCGTGTGGTGTCAGGAAGGGAAGGCGCACTGTCGCAGCCGGGCGAGGGTACATTGAATTGTGGCCCCATCGCTGTTCCTTCCCCCTCCTCTGCCTTCTTGTGAATCTTCATTGGGTGGAACAAAAGTGACGACCTGTTCTCCCGCACATTGAAGTTCAGAGACGCTCCCTCGGGCGCGTCGCAGACCTTGGTTGGATTTCGGGGAATCAGGCGGCTACGACGTCATCGGGCATGGCCAGGTAAGTGCCAAGCGCGCTCTCCGCCTCCACTCTTACAAGTCCACCTGCCTTTCGCCAAAAAGAACCAAAGGAGCTTCTTTCTCATTGACGGATACCACACCGCAGAACAGCGGCGAGGCGTGGGAAAATGACCACTATGACCAGGGATTCAACCATAGGCTGCACCAAGAGACCGGTTTTGTGTTTCAGTTCTTGAAAAAACACGGATGCGCAGCGCCCCCAGGGGCGGTCGAGGGACAGGTTAGCGGTGTTCCAGTCCTCCCCAGACTTCCTTCCACTCAAAAACCTTGGAAGGGTTCAGAGTGACAATCATTTCCTAAAATAGCAAGGTATTGCTCCCGAGGAGGCGATCAGAGCCTTAACTCCGGTTGTTCCTGAAAGCCGAAGAAAAATATGAACGTGATTGTTATCTGTGGAATGGGTTGCTATCATCCATCCAACCCATGGGACATTAGAAGCGGATACCAGTTCGGGAAATCCAACTGTGAGGATTTGGGCGCTCGAGGCGGAACGTGGTGAGAAAACGGGATGAGCCGCGGGAACCTGACGCACACTTGGCTGCTAAACCAGCCGGGGGGCCTGGACCTTTTCAAGGTTGTCAAGTGGGGCCATTCCCACTGGTGCTGCAACATGACGAAGAGGGGCTCAGGGGGAAAGGGGCCCTAACCCTCACAGCTTGGATTAACTAACCAACCATTTATTCAGTTGACACCAGAGAAGTTACAGTCGAGTCGTCAACAAAGGATATCTAGCTCTCCGACTAAGGCGCACGAAAAATACGTACAAATTCTGTAAGTATGGGTCTCGTGAGAAATGTACCTATTTGAGCTCGGTAATTTTCCTTAACCCCTATTCGCGAGAGGGTACCTGTACCTGCATCTCTCAACACCATTAGCTTCCTTTCCGCCTCCGTGAACTTCAATCTCGGTCTCCTCTCTCCTTTGACCCCATGAAAAACTCAATATTTTGCCTATTTAGGGTATGCAACCCGGAAACAGGGCGAGAAAATTAAACTCAACAAAGTAATTCAAGGATAACACTGAGGCGGACAACAGATTCAAGTCCCACCTTAGCGGGAATACTAACATGATTATGTGAAAAACGTACGATTCAACCCACCGGGCTTTCTCCCATTGGTACGCGGCCATGCTGAGGACACCACCCCGACGTCAGCGAGAAGTGCCAGCTCAGCCTCAGTCTCTTGACTTTGCGGACTTGAAAGACCTCAAGAGCCTGATCACCAGATTTCCACATTCCGCCATGTTTTGCGAAAAGAGAGTTTTCTTTTAACAAGAGACGTGGCAACATCTAGTCACGCGACCTCGGGTAGACGGAATCAGCTTCACCTATCCTTTCAGTCCCGGGACAGCTCGACGTGTAGTACACCACACCATTTCATCAGATGGGGAAAACAACTCCCATTCGGCCTGTCGAGCGGGAATATTTCATGACCCCCCCTTCCCCCACTGCCCGGGTCAGCAACGAGCTGAATTTTGTGTGTCGCTCGTCACGCTATTATCCAATGAAAAGCCGAGCCCTGTAGGGCTGAGACGGGCTTGCAAGTTGTGGGGGAGTTGAGTTGGAGTCGGGCCCGGCCTCGAAAAAAGCGGCACACTGAAACAGATAGCTCAAGTCCAATCCATTAGCATTCGATAAAATCTTGATATATTTTGATTGATTTACTCTTTTTTGTCCTTTTTACACTTTCTGCACTTATTTATTTTTGTCTTCTTTCACTTTATTTGGTTTATTCTTTTCGGTCTTTTTCACTTTTGTAGCAAAGTATCCATGGGCTTGGTCTGCCGCTTTTTTTGGCCATAGCGGGCCGGGAAGGTTGAGAGTGGGGCACACCGACCGGGCCGGGCCTTTTATCACATTCTGTGGAGCATGCCGGTTGTTTGTGCTGTACTCACTCTCGCAACAGAGGAATGGAGTGTAACGATAAAAGAGATTGGATGATGACAGGAAGTCAACAAGGCCGTAAGAACGTCTGTCTTAAGGGGCAATGGCCTACTCGGCCCATTTTCTCCAGTAATTCTACAGTATCAACTATCTCAAGCGCGCTCGAGCAAGTAACAGTTCAAAAGCCATGTTTTTTACTATCTGCCTGTAAGAAACTGGCCCTATGGTGGAGTACAGATAGGCGTTTATTATGTTATTGAG